GGATGCCGAGAGTACCCTAAGCAACTGCAGAGAAGACAGTGCCTGAATTACTGAAAACAGAACACAACAAACGGTCCTGAGAGACCCTTCTTTAGTCTAATTTAAAGTTGTTACCTTGATATGTCACAGCCACGCATGGGCTCAGAAGGTCACTTATAATCATTAAACTATTAGGCAAACACTTTGTGTTCAGCACCCCCTCCCAGACACGGGTGGGTGGAGGGAGTGAGGCACAGATCCTTGAGCCAAGGATTTCCGTATGTATCCACCCTGCTGCCTATTTGGATGGGGCAGAAACAGTTATGATTTTAAAATTACAGTTCTACATGTTGTAGTCAGAGTTTGTGAGGGAAACCGTTTAATACAAGTCACATAATTTATATGATTATTTGATACTATCACCCAAAGAGTCAAGTACAAAAAAGTGCAGGAGATCTGTCCACACACTAGAGACCCAGAGAATCTAGCTGAAGGCCTAGATCCCACAGCAATGTCCTGCATGAGTCCAGCTGAAGAACTAGAGCCCACAAGTCAAACTAGAGGCCTAGAGCCCACACGGATGTCTCATGCAAGTCTGCATCATGAATTTGCACTGGGAAGGCCCAAAGGTCAGTGTGGAAGCTAGAAAGTCTGTGCCAGCAGGCTGAGGGATCTGCCCTGGAGTGAGGAAGCAATGCTCAAAGGACCAGAGCTCCCTGAAAAGAACTGCAGCTATCCCCAGAGACAGTGAGGTCCCTAGCTCCTGGATAACAGCCGAATTTACATCAGGAAAACCAGTGTGACAAGCTCCTCCAGAAGAATCAACAGCTCCACCTCTTCCTTTCCAGCTCTCCTTTTTATGTTGTTGTCAACAGTGCTCAGATGGGCCCTCCACACCCAGCACCATGCTGATTCAGTTCACCTGAGTATTACAAGTTGCCCACCAGTGGATCAATCCACCACACTGCATGCTAACTGCTATCACTGGTGCTGCCAGCCCTTCTAAGGAGCACAGAGCGATCTCTGCATTATTTCGATAGAAGTAATTTCCCAAATAGTCATGGAGCAATTTATATGTGATTAGGAAGAGGAGAGGCAGTGTGTAGACAAAACACACACGCCCAACCCTGAAAAGATTTTCAACTTTGCTCAAAAATCTTAAAATGCTTAAAAAGTTTCCCCATTAGAGAAGTGAAAGCATTTTAAAAAGTGATAACCTTAGACCTCCATCCACTGTTGACTACAGGGCAGCTTAATAATATTTGCCAAAATGCACAGTGTTTCTGCTCGCAGTGGTCAACTGTGTCACTGTCCCTAACCTCATCTACCCCACCCATAAGAGGTGCTGCCATAAGACCCGCAGCCACCTCCAGTGATAGGGACTCCACCCTGCTCACTGCACCACACAACAGATCTCTTTAAACTTAATCCTTCTGTCTGGATGAAATATGTATCCTTTTACCAGGACCTCCCCAGCCCTCCCTTCCAGCCCTATAGCCCCGGGGGCTACTGTTCCGCTCTCTGTGAGGTCCAGTTTTTACCCTCTGTGGGTGGGATCATGCCATACTTGTTTTCCTGTGCCTGGCTTCCTCCTCTTAACATCACATCCTCCAGTTTGGCTCCTGTTGTTGGGACAGGATTTCCTGCTTTTCAAGGCTGAGTAGCATTCCATCGTATGCCTACCTGACTCATGTTTTATCTGTTTACCCAATGATGCACAGGCAGGCAGTTTCCATATCTTGGTTACCGTAACCACAGCTGCACGAACACCGGAGTGCCGAAGTCTCTGCACCACCCCACCTTTATTTCCTTTGGATATGCACCTGATAATGAGGCTGCTGGCTTGTGTGCTCTGTTGGTAATGCTCTGAGAATCCATACTCTTTCCCACAATGGCCACACTAACTGACAATCCCCACAGTGGTACACAAGCTCCCCTTCTCCTCATTCTCCCATTCTCTTTGTTCTTCACTTTTTTGTTGGTACCTGTTCTAACAGGTTCACAGTCTAAGCGTAGTTTCAGTTTCTGTTTCTGTAATTCATGGTGGTGAGCATTTCTTCACACATCTGCTGGGCGTTCGTATATCTCCTTCCAAAAAATATTTATTCAGACCCTTTTCAGTTATATAATGGGCTTGTTTACTTAAAAATGAGTTGCATTTATCTTTTGGCTACTGAGCGCTTCTCAGAGGTCTGGTGCAGACTCCTCCATTCTGCGTGTCACCTCTTCACTCTGCTGATTGTTTCCCTGCCTGAGCAGCAGCTTTGAAGTTTGATGTCAGCCCATTTTCTTCACTTTTTTTGTTTCGTTACCTATGCTTTCAGGTTCATATCCAAAAAAGTAGTTACCCAAAACAATGTCTTGGGACATGCCCTCTGGGTTTTCTTCTAGTACTTTTACAGAGATTAAAGGAAGACACACTGGTGATCTCAAATCTATCTGTGTTTCATTTTTTAAAATAGCAACCAGGATAAGCATAGTTTAACATTGAGACTAGGTAAAACTTGCAGATATACAAGCAACTTTGTATGTTATTTTTCTCTGCACAGTGAGATGGGTGTTTATGTATGAATAAGATCGCCCATTTGCAGATAAACATTTCAAGACATTGTGTGAATATGTACGTCACACCTGGAAGGCAGGGAGAAAAAATAAATGGGACTTATCATTTCACGCCTTTCTTTAATGTCTGAGTGACTTTAGAAACATGTTTTAAATTCACAAGTTAAGAATGAGAAGGCAGTAATCCGGGGAGAGCAATCCTGCCAGGAGTGGGTGAGACAAGACTGAAGACTCCCGACCCTGTGCTTTCTCTTTAAAATCTGATTAGAAATATCTATTTTGCAGAACTGCTGTGAAGATCCAATTAGAAACATCCAGCAGTGAGCCTTTTATGGAGTAGGTCCTAAATAAATAATAATTGTTTACATTATTCATCAGCAAGTGTGCTCCCTGCCTGCGCCCAGGAAGCCGGGCGGACTCTTCCCCTTCTCATAACTGCTCTCCTCCTCCAGGAGGCCCCATCACAGGCACCAGATCCCAGGGTGGGAAACTTAGCTCATCTCAATAATTCAGACCTGCAGTCAATGCTTAGCTCTCTCACAGTAAGCACCGTCTCTTGGGGTACATGTACATGGACGCTCAGATCACTGCCCCTCCACACAGTGGGCAAAAACACAGGATGGCCAGTTACATTTGAATTTCTGGTACACAGGAATGCTTTTGTAAAGGTGCATCCTGAGTACTGCAAAGGCCCTGTTTGTAGTGAGAGAATCTGCGTTGTTTATCCTAGATCTGCTGCTCCAGCACCCTAGGGATTACTTGGCCACCCTCTCTGGATGGATGAGAAGAGCCCTAGGCTCCCGCACTTGAATATGCACTGGGTGGTGTCGGGTGTTCCTGAGCAACCAGGTACCTGCTCTGATGTCTGCTGCTGATGTACCATGGTCTATGTCTCCCAGCAGAGTCACAACCTGTGGATGTCCTTGGTAAAGCTTGGCCCATGGCCCCTCTCAGATGAAGCCCTTTGGGACTGTCAACACCCTCTCTGGACCTCAGCAAGGGTGTCCACATTGCTGCCTCTGCAGAGGGGTCTCTAAACCAGGTGGTATCCATAGCAGACACCTGGCTGTCAGCTCAGACACTGTCACATGGCCCCTGGAAGCGTGTAGGAAATGGTACCAAGGACACAAAACTCCATCTGTCTCTCTGCCCAAATGCTTTGTGTCCTGAGATTTTGACATGGCCCTGCACACAAGTCCTGAGCACCCAGAGTCTCCAACAAGATGCATTTGTATTCTGAGGCACGATGTCACAACACTACCAGAGTTCACTGTGCTGAGTCAGGTCTTCATCTTCCCCCTGAGACCCTGAGACCTGGGACTGGGATGCTGGGGACAGCCAGACACAAGGCTTTCAAAACAGCCCTGTTACCTGTTCACAATCCTGGATGAAGTATTCTCGGAAAGCAGATGACAGAGCAGCTTCTTTCCTGGAGGGCCCAGCAGACGAGCATCTTGGTCAGACTGAGGCTGGGATGAGTGATTTTTGAGGACCCCAGGGTATCATCAGGGATTTGAACCTGGATGGTAATAATGACGTTATGAGGAAATGAACAGAATAGAGGTTCCCATAAAATGCTCAACATCACTGTATTATTCTAAAAATATTGCACAGGTGCCCCTCCGCATTTGGTGGGGCCAAGTCCCCATAAACTGATCAGAGGTTGAAAAGACCCTAAGTTTATAATGCACCTGCTCCCCTCACTGGCACCCATCCTGGCTCTACCCTACAGCACTGTGAAGTCATTTTCCTTCAAGGATAACTGGGAGCTCCACCTGCCACCACCCAGCAACACAGAGGGATTGGAATGGGAACAAAGATGGGATTCAAAGCATGGTTCCTCCTGAATGCATCGCACTTCTGCAGCACCTTCATGGCCAAACCTTCGGTGAAACCCTCTCCTGGCTGCTGTCCCAACTGCAGAGACAAAGCGTGGGCTCAATCCTCTTGCTAACCCCTTACCACAGAGCTGGCTTCTCCGTGCTCAGCAAACCCTCTTGTCCTCAGAAAAATGTCTTTTCTTTGCTTCTCCTCAACTAAACTAATGACTTCTCTTGTCTTGATTACTTTTCTCTCATTGCTGGGACAAAATACCCAACACTCAAAACAAAGGAAGGAAAGATTTATTTTGCTCACTGTTTGTGGAGGTTTCAGTCAGCTGGCTCCAAGACAGGGTGGCACAGCACTGGGGCAACACTTCAACGCAGCAGCCAACAAAAGCAGACAGAGCAAAACAGGAGAATGAGTGTCTTTTCCTCCCTTATATTGTACACAGACCAGCCCCTCCCCACTCTCGGGTTGTGTAGCACTCACAAAATCTGCTTGCAGTCCTCTTGCACAGGATGAAAATATTTACAAAGCAAGAACCCTGGCTCCCTGCTGAGTCTCTTAGTTAAACTTCTAAACTGCTCAATGTATCAACCATAACACTTGTCTTTCTCTTTTACTGCCCAATCCAGGTCCCGGGGTGCCCACAGTGACTGTGCACAACACCACAGATAAGAAAAGTAAGTGCTCACTTCCTCAGACCTTCTCAAGAGTCTGGAGAAAAGAGGGAAAAGGCTCTGGGGATAATCCGGGTTTTCCCTGCATTGGCACAAGAATGGGCCACATGCTGTGGCACAAAATGGCCCCAAGGATGGCCAGGGCTGATGAAATGGGTGGAGGGACAGCCAGTGGGGTGGGGAGTCCTATACCCCTTCTCTGCCACCCAAGCCGAACAGGGCCAAAGGCTGGAGGAAGTTCAGAAGCCTGGGATGGGCCTTTGTACTCTCCTCTGTTCTAGAGCCTATGGCCCATGGGCACCAGGAGGCTCCTTTGTCTCTGTGGGTCCCGGGCTGTGTGCATGGCATGGAGGGTCTACACATGCAGGCTGCACAGCGGGTTAATGATAAACTTCTCTGACCCTTGCCGGGATGCTGGGAGACCCTGTTCAGGACCGTCAGGGCAGGCTGAGGCTTTCGTGAAGAGGGAGAAGGCATGCTCAACTCTAATAACAGCAAACACGGCTGGGACTCGTGGCCTGGAGCAGAGTAGTTGGAAACGTGCTGAGAGGAGAGATTGAGAGGAGGGAGTGCTTGCTCAACGGAAGGCAGAGCAAAGATTTCAAGGTGGGGAAGAACTGATCAGGCACCAAGGGTGACCCACATCAAGGTGGGCAGTTTTTCCAAGGTAACTTAGTGGGGTGCTTGCTAAAACTGATGCTGCTGCCCAAAGATCCACCATGAGGTGGGTCAGAATGGGTTCAGAGGGTCCCACAGGTGTGGACCAGGAGAGGGACTCTGCCAGGAGCTGGAAGTTCCCGAGTCTCTCGTTTCTCCTTAAGAAAATGCATGCTGTTCATTTAGAACACTTGCTAAGATTTAAGAGTATATTTGTGAGGGCTTTTTCTCCTAAAATCAGTGGTCTGGTGAAAAGTGACTGAAGTAGGTAACAACAGCATGGCACCATGTTGATTCCGGTCTCAGCCTATGTCACCCTTAGGTGGAGGGCAGAGAAAAGAGACCCAAGACTCTGTAAGCCATTTTTGCAACTGCCTACAAATCTATCATTATATTCTATTTAAAAGTTGTTTTTTTAAGGCTATGGTCAAAGAAAAAAACACAAAACTGTCTCTAGGCATTTAAACATACAGCATGTATCGCTTACAAAAGCCACTCACTCAGATGCTTTCCCTTGCTTCTTTTTGGAAATGCAGTTATTAACATTATCTGCTTCAAAGGTCACCACAGTGTCTGTTATGGTTTAGATCTAGAACACTCCCCAAATCTCATTTACTCAGATGCTTTTGGAAGGTGATTGGATCATGAGGGTGCTACAGTCATCAATGGTTGATTCATTGCATAGCTAGGATCCATTTCTAGGAGGCAGGGCTCGGTTGAAAGAACTGGGTCACTGGAGCGTGACCTGGAAAGGCCTAGCTCCCTCCTATCCTCCTCTTCCCTCTCTGTTTCCTGGCTGCCATGATGTGAACAGCTTTCATCCTCATGCCCTTTTGCCAGGATATTCCTACCTTGGACCCAGCTGACTGTGGACTAAACCCCCTGCATCATGAGCCCCATTAACTTTAAGTAGTAGGTATCAGGTGTCATACCAGTGATGGGAACACTGATTAACACATCTGTTTTTGAAGAGGACTTTTTGACTCGCAGTGGCTGTGACCACACTCCCTGTGAAAACATTCCATAGTCCTAGACAAGGTTCTCTGAGCTCCCAAGACACAGGAGCAAATGACAGTGAAGCAGACCAATGTCTTAGATAAGACATTTGAGAAAATGTCTTACTTATTCTATGCATAAAAGCAAAGTGCTTATGTGGGGCAGGATGCAATGCTTTGGGAGTGTCTGCCTAAGAATGTGCCATCTGCCACCAGCACCTGTAATACGCGAATGCTCCCAACATTCAGAGATGCTTTATCACCACTTCTTGTCACCTGCAGAACAGAATGGCTCCTGAGCCTGTCAGTCCAATCAGCACTGGTGGACCAGCAATCTTCTATTGTCATCTGCTGTCCACAGAGGGCTCCATGATGTGCACTGTCCTTCTTTCCCTTTCTGCAGTACTGGGATTAAACCCAAGGTTTTCACGCAGGTTTTGCACGTTTCATTTTTTTTTATTTTTATTTTTATTTTTTTATTTTGAGACAGGGTCTCACTAAATTGCTAAGTTGTGCAGGCCAGACTTGAAATTGTGACCCTTCTGCCTTAGCCTCCCAGCGTGATGGGACTTCAGGAATGGGCCACTGTGTCCCTAAGAAGCATTTTACAGCCTAGAGCTGAGCTGTCACTTGGGTCTCCTGGAGACACAGAGCAGACCATGTGGGCTAAGCAAAGGAGAGTGTTATGTGCCTAGGATGTGGTAGCTACACACGCCAGGGTCTAGTTAGTTTTCAGGCTCTTCCAAGGGGCAGGAAGTCCTCCCTGGCACCCACTTTTCATGCCCCACTGGTGCAGTATCTGAAATCCCACCTGTTATTGTGCTCATGGTCAAGAAAAGAGATTCACAGTCCACCCACAATGGGAGGCAGGGTGCGGCTGTGGCTCTGTGACCATTCTTCTGACATCCCCAAGCTATGACCTGGCCCACAGAAGGGAATTCTGTGTTTGAAAGGTGCTCTCAGTGCTCTGTACCCAGGAGCAGTGGCGGCAGAGGCCTCTATGCCCCTGGCAGGGCCGTGTGGGCACAGCAGGGCACAGACTCTGTCAGGGCCTGGGTGTCGGGAAGCACGGAGGCTGGGAGCCAGACGCTTTGACAGGGATGGATCCTGGGCCAGGCTCTTCTAGTCCTAGTGGAGGCTGGAATTACTGTTGCAGCCCTCTTTGTCCTTCCTGCTCCCCCTCACTGGCCCCAAACCACCCTGGGAATCTCTTTCTCCCCCTCTCGAAAATCTTTTCTACAAACAGAGCCTGCGGGTGTTCACAGCTGTGACTCTGAATTATTTAGAAGCCTTTCCTTAAGAATGTAATTATGGCCAGGACCCAAGGAGGCCCATGGCCCTGAGACTTCAAACAACATAGGTGTGCATAGAAAGCCAGCCAAACATGGGCCAGCGGGCCAAGCTACTGGTGTTAAGGAGGAGAAAACACACGCACTGGTGAGGTGACAGAAGGTGGCACCACAGCCAGGCCCCCCCGCAGCATCTTGCACTTGCACGTGTATTTGGGAGCTCTGGATACTGGGCTGCCACTTACCAAATCCCTGGGTCCCATGGAAGACAGGTTTCTCTAACCACTCACCCTCATCAGTCTAGTTTTTGTTGTTATTTTATTTTCTGATACCAGGGGTTGAACCCAGGGCCTTCCGTGTTAACTGTATTCCCAGCCCTTTCTGATTTTTTTAAATTTTGAGACAGGGTCTCACTAAGCCACTAAGTTGCCTAGGTTGGATGGAATATGTGGTCCTCCTGCTTCGGCCTCCCAGAATGCTCTGGTACTATGAAGAAACAAAACCATCTCCAGTCTCTGACTGGCCCCAAGCAGTCCCATGAATTCCTTGGGACACTGCCCACCTGGGGTTTCCCAAAAGCAGAATTAGGTGCCAGCTTCGTACCTGTCCTGCCAAGGATGACCCTGGTTCTTACTCAAAGCTCATCTGAAGATACCCCGGGCTTAGTGGCCCAGGGTGGCTTAGTGGCCATAGAAAGGAGTCTTATCGTAAATCAGCATTGGTGTGGGGGCCATGCACCAAGACATGCTCCATGGAGAATCAGCATCAACAGTGTATTTCGCGTACTTTTAAGTTGTCACCTCAAGTTTATCCTTCTTAAAGAATATATGAGGTGTATTTGCAGTACCTGGCAAAATGTTTTCACTTTAAAATTAAACCATTCTGTAATCCTGGATGCCCATGTGTCACAGCACTTTGAATCCTTCTGTGCTACATTTAAAGGTTTCTGCTGTCACATTTCACTCGCCAGTCCCCAGAGCTCTGTCCTTCTGTCCTATGCCTGAAAATCTTCTAGATACTGTTTTCTCATTCCCTGCAACTATAAGACATGATTATGGTATCACTTGCTCACATCAAAATAGCAACACAGCTGTCCATGGTGGTACACAACTGTGATGTCTGAATTCTGGGAAACTGAGGCAGAAAGATGGCAAGTGAAGCTGGGCAACTTAGCAAGAACCTGTGTAAGAAATTTTCTTTAAAACTTAAAAAGTTAGGAAGATAGCTTAGTGCAAAGATCCTGGGTTAAAGCCTCAGTACCAAGGGAAAAAAAAAAAAAAAAACAGCCAGTGTATGTTATACAATCAACAATGGACCCTCCAGTGTTTAGAGCAAAGAGCTATCCCTTGACATGAGTTAGTCTGGAAAGGCCCCTTCAGGCACTGGGCTGGATCTGATCTCTGAATACAACTGCACAGATGGGCCCAGGGTGGGGACAGCACCCAAGGTGAGGAGTGGGCAAGGGAGAGAATAGTGTGTGAAGGAGTGATTGGGAAATGGGCAAGAGAAAGGGAGAGAAAACACAGCCAAGGGAAGTTGGGCAGTGGGACAGGAAGGCATTGGTGGGGCCATGTACACATCTCTGAACAGTTGCCTTTGGTTACCATTAGGATCCAGCTCCCTACTTTCCAGAATTTATCAGGCAGCGATACCAGCAATCCCCCGAGCCCAGGGCCACTGGAAGCAGGCCTTAGAGCAGCCTGAGGGCCTCACAGACTGGGAAGCAGCCGCCCTCCTGAGCAGGCACCAGTCTCTGTGGGCTCGCTGTGTCCAGATCTGATAATAGCTAATTCCACCAAATATTAGAGGGGCTCACATTTAATTAAGGAGTGGCCATTTGTATGCTCCAGACTGGGGGTCCCCGCTGCCCTGAAGTCAAAAGAAGAGTCCTTTGGGGAATATGCCAATCTTTTCTTATTTCTCTGTTGAGCTCCTGCCCTCTTTGAATGCAATTATGGGAACAAATAAAATGGCTTAACTCAACTCCCTGGTGAGACAGCCAGCTCTCTGCTGATAAAACCAGTTGTGTGGGCAATCATTAAATGAGAAATCTAATATTTAACTAAATTTAATAGTCTGTTGCTTTGGCGCTCTTCAGTGAAGGGTGGGATTTCAATAGACAGCAGCGAGCTATTCAGATGCAGCCTGTGCGGTCCAGGAGCGATTAGAACACAGTGTGCCTCCCACCGAAAGGCAGGATCCCGAGGCCCCCTTGTTGGTAACAGGGAATGTGGTGGCAAACCCAGCTCAGCAGGCAGCACAGCAGCCTTTTGCGCTGAATTTGAAACCACTCCTTCTGAATCTGAACTTGGGATTGTAGAGGAATGTCAGAACTATTTCACTCAAAGGTATCCATAAGGAGAGAAGAGTTTGGAAACAGGATAGCTGCTCCTGCCTGTCTGGAGGCTTGAGCTGCATGAAAACTTGTTTTTCATTCTTTGATTGTTAATCTATGAATTTCTTTTAGGAGTAAATGTGTTTCTTGTATGCAGCATACCGTTGGGTTTTGTTTTTAGTCTCATCTGCCAACCTGTATCTTTTGACTAAGGAAATGAGACCTTTTCCATGGAGAGCTATTACTCAAAGGTATTGGCTCATTCTTGTCATTGGATTATTTCCCTGTAACTGATTCTTTTTTGCTCCACTCTGGTTAACTGCTCATCCTGCCTGATTGTTCACTTCATTAGATTTTGGACATTATTGGCTTCACTGTCTCTGTCTAGGATATCCTTAAAAGATTTCTGGAGTGCTAGTTTGGTGGTCATAAATTTCATAAGGTGTTCTGTGTCATTGCAGTGAACTGTGAGGGGGTCAATTTTATTCTGAAATTTCCTCATCCAGTTCCACCTCTGCCCCCAGCCAAAACCCCCACAGATCCTCCACAGCAGAAGCTGACTGACAGCGATGGAATGTTTAGTTTCTTCACTAACCTTCACAGGTTTTCCACTTCACAGTTTGACCCACATCTGCCACCCCATCCTTCTTCCTGCTACCCACCTGGGCTATCATAAGGGTGGGCATAGTGGTAAAGGTCACAGTCTCCCAAGGGCCACAGCAGCTTCCAGCAAGGTGAGGCTTCGAAATGATCCCACATGACCCACACACAGAGTCTGGTGTGTCAGTAAGCCGGCTGATAAGCCTGGCATCAGAGACTATCAGCTTGTGTGCCCTTCCAAGCACCAGGAACTTTTCAGCCTACTTCCTAACTATTTGCTTTCTTTTGTATGGGTTTGTATTTTCCACTGGAGCAGGAATGGATGGTCAAGCTTCTAGAGCAGTCTGAATTCTGGGGACACCAAGAGCCTTAGGCTCCTGAGACACCCATAGAATCTTTCAGTCATGTTTTGTTTCTTCAAGACCCTCTTGGGGCCATGGTAAAGGCCATACCCATGCAGGACATAGGGAGAAAGATGTGGATAGAAACCTAACCTAGGCTCAGCTACCATCTAAAGGTGCTTAATTTTCAGAGTATGAATTAGGTTTCCACAAATAGATAAAGCCAGGTTACTGGAAATGAGTTTGTTTCCAGTGAGTGGAATTTAACAGTGAGCCCCTGGGGTGTGGGGGTGAGAGGGTGGGGCCAGGCAGACACCCAACCCTCTTCCACTTGTTGTTGAGCTCTACAGAGGTTGGTGGACACCCACGATGGGATGGCCATGGCTTCTGTTTGAGGAGGTGGCTCTTTACTTGATGGAAGAGGAGCCAGCAAAGAAGCTTCCAAAATATAGGGGACAGCAAGTGCCAAGACCCAAAGACAGCAAGAGGCTTGGTGGAAAGCTATTCTCCTCATTATCCTGGAGTCCCTTCTCATCTTATACCCTAGAAATGTCCATTAAATGCAGATAAAGCCAGGTGTGGTGGCACACACCTACAATCCTAACACTCAGGGAGGCTGAGGTAGGTGGGTTGGAAGTTCAAGCCTGGCCAGGGCAACTGTAAGACTCAGCAAGACCTTGTGTAAAAATTTTTAAAAGAATGAATTTAAAAGGAACTAGAAATGTAGTTCGGTGAGAAGGTCCTGTGTTCCGCGCCCAGTACCACACACGTACACACACACACACACACACACACACACACACACACACACACACGCGCGCGCGCACACAGGTAATAAGTGAAGCCTCATAGACCAATTCCTGCTGACTTCTCCTAGGTCTGTTTGGCTACTTCTCCTTCTGTCTTTCCATTGAAAGTGAACCGCCCATGTACCCAGTTACTAGTAAATCATTTTTGGTTCCTCATTAACTCATCACAAGGGGGAGAACTCTCCCACCTGCTGCCTCTCCTTGAAGATCCAGGAGCAGAGGTGCCACCAAGTGTCACTTGCAGATGACACTTCACATACCCTCCAGCAGCCTTGGAAAGTTGTACGCCCAAGGGAACATCATGGGTTTTTTTGACTTTTAATATTGGTTCACTCTTTAAGGCAGTGATCCCCAGCGACCAGGGACCAGTTTCATGGAACACCGTGTTTCCATAGATGGGTGAGGGATCATTTTTTATTGCTTTTAGACTAGTCTATGTTTGCAACCCTAATAATTACACTCCCCAGCGCTATCATCACTGCCTCAGCTCTACTCAGATCACCAGGCATTAGATTCTCATTAGGGTGGCAACATAGGTCTCTCACACACACAGTCCACAGTAGGGTCTGGGCTCCTGAGAGAGTTCCGTGTTGCTGCTGATCTGACAGGATGCAAGGCTTATGTGATGGCACCCACTCTGGGAGTGATGAGAAATACAGCTGAGGCTTCAGTCACCTGTCACATTCTTCCTGCTATGTGACCTAGTTCCCATGGGTTATGGACCAATACCTGGGAATTGGGCACTCCAGGTCTAAAACATTCCCCTCTATAACTCTTGTAAAGGAGGGTAGATGTCTTAGTCATTTTCTATGCCAATGGAACAAAATACCTGACTCCAGCAAATTAAGGTGGGAAGGTTTATTTTGGCTCACAGTTTTTAGGGATTTCATGGCAGAGAAGCACCATGGGGGAAAGGCTGCTTGTGGCACGGCAGTAAGAAGTAGAGAAAGAAGGAAAGAGCTGGGGAGAGAGATAAATCTTTCTAGACCACACTTTCAGTCACCACCTCTTCTGACCAGGCTCCTCCTCCTGACAGCAATGAGCTGTAAGCCTCATGGTCCAACCACCTTCCAAATGGGCTTCCCATAAGCACATGAGGCGTTGGGCAACACCTAGAGGTAAAGCATAAGTGTGGAGTCCTATAAACACAAAATTCCCTTTCATAGTGCACCAAAAGTTGTCCCCAAGGGTGAACTCAGAATGAAAAAGGACAAGGAATCTCAAGGTTTTCATCACCTCTCAGCTGCTGAATGAGGTGGCTTGGCCCCCCTGGTGACAGGTGGCGCTTCTGGCCAACAGGAGGAGCTCATGATGAGGGTGTTCAACATCATACAAACCTGAAAGAAGAGATCCTCTAAGGCAGAGGTGGAGCTCTGCCTGCTGGGCAGGAAAGGGCCAGTCCTGCAACACAGTGACATGTCACTTGGAAGCTTTGTATCTTCAAATATAGCCACCGCAATGAAGGCCTGTTGTGTCTAAAGCACAAGTCTGAGTCCATTTATCCTGGGAAAATTTAATAGAGAAAACAGTGTAGTGTGTAGACCTCCTTCTTTCCTTTCCTCCTGATGGGGACCTCCATCCGCACAGGGAGGTAACAAGGTTCCTCCTGGTGGCTCGGGCCCAGGCCTTTCCGTGCAAGTGTGCAACTCGATAGACTTATTCACTTATTCTATAGACAGCAGAGGTCTAGTGGGGAGGAGGTGGTCTGACAAGGTACAGATTCTTTGGTCTGCAGAAGCTCCTGCTCTGAGATGCAGCATGCAGCATCACTGCCAGGACAGGGTGGAAATGACCCCACTGCTAATGTGGATGCTCAGGGGACCATCACCATGCTGCTCCTTGCTCTCTTTCAGAGATCTTCGACCTGGAAACAAATGAACACATGCAGAAGGCTGTCAGTGATCGGCAGATGCCTAAAATAGAGTACAGGAGAATCGAGATTGATGACTACAGTAAGTACAAGTCTTTTTCCCTTTCACAGAAAAGCAAGCTGGGCCTGATGGCCCACACCTGTAATCCTGGCACTAGGAGGCTGAGGCAAGAGGATCATGACTTTGGGCTATGTTGGGGCAACTTATTGCCTTAAAGATTCTGTCTCAGAATGGATTAGCTCAGTGTGAAGGCCTTGGATTGGATCCCCCACAATGCAAAAAAATAAAAATTTGAAAAGAAAAAGAAAGCCGGTGGTATGTCAGAGATTGCCCCTCAGCCCTGATGGCCAGCACAGGAAACACTCACCAGAGAGGCCAATGGGTTAGGTCAGGTCTCGGCTGGAACTCTCCCTGGTCGCCATGTGCTTGCACTGTCGTGGGAAGGGCACTCGTGGATTTTTCCAGGACTGCAGCCTCCATCCTCTGCCTGCAGGCCCTGGGTACCAACAGCTTTCCTATAGCTAGAGAGACATGTCTTGAGGCAGGAGAGTATGTGCTGTCACAGCCTGAGGAGTACCCAGCACTCTACCCTGTGCCTGTCTCCATCCCTGGACCTGTGTCTGTGAGTGCAGACCCAGGCGTGGGCTAGCGCCCCTCCTGACTGCCTCTCGGCAGTTTCACTTAGCGCCACTGGGGTGGCTCCTGGGTATGCCTCACAGCGGCAATCACTCCCCAGAACACTAACCAGGGTGCAATGCCCAGAATAGCCCCCGAAATTCCTCAGCCTAGAGCCCACCTCTATGTACCTCCACATCCTTGAGGCAGGGTCCTGCAGGGGTGTGGGACAGGACAGACCTACTCAGAAAAGAGGTGTTGGCAAGGGGGCACCGCCCAGAATCCCCTGCAAGGGAGGTGGCCCTCCCTTGCCAAGTTGGCCTCTGCTGGAACCTGTCCTGGCTCCGCCAAGCACACACTCACAATAGCCCTGCGGTCTGGAAAGTGACCGCCAGTCAAATCCTCCAGACACTGCTGCTCTGCAGAGAGGGACAGTGAAGAAGACATGAGGGGCAGCCCCCTCAAGTCAGAAGAGCCCTAAACTGTAAACCCCCAAGCAAGCAAGGCTGTGGCAGTCCGCTTTTTCCCAGAATGCTCCTCTGCCCCGCCCTGGAGCATAGACCACCCCACCCCCACCCCCAGCTCCTCTCCTGGTTCCCTAACCCTATCCCTCCAGCTGGCTCTGCCACTGCTGTCCCCGAAGGTTTCCAAACCTTGACTGCACCTCTCACACAGCTCAGGAGTCAACCACAGCCCTCCCCGGCCTCTCACTTGTCCCCAGGACTCCAGTGTTGGGACAGTGGCCTAGAGGCTGTTGTGTTTCCAGGGCCTGTCCTCCTATTCTGCTCCCCGGAGGCTCAGGCCACCTGGAGACAGCAGTGGGCAGCAGGGGCTGGAATGCGGCCTCCCCAGCTCTCTCAGTGGCCAAGACCACCCCACACACACACATCTTGTAGATATTTGAGCATTAAAGTCCCCTGCCTATCTCTCCACCTGGCCCTGGGCCACAGGTACAGTTCGCAAGCCATTAACATTCACCCCAGATCTCTATGAGAAGCTGCCCCGGCCTGGGGATGTGTATGTTTAGGAATCTGGGCGGTAGTTAACATCAGTAAGGAAATCCTACATCCCTCTGTGTAGAAGCTAGATCTCTCTGTGCAGATCAAGCTGGCCTTGAACTCACGGCGATCCTCCTGCTTCAGCTTCCCCAGCTGGGACTACAGGCATGTACTACCATGTATGGCTAGGAGAAGCAGTTTCTTGAGACCTGCTTGTTCTTCTTCTCTTCCCCTTCTGCATTTCACACTGCCAAGGACCAAGCTCAGTGACCCTGGCAGAAGTAAGAGTCCTCTCTGGCTCCAGCAGACAGACCTGCCCAGCTCCTATCTACAAAGCCACCAGGCCGGGCCAGATCCTCAGCGCACTCGTACCCGGTCCCCATCTCAGCCTCCCTTCCTGGTCACCTCCCCACCCCAAACCCACTGCTCCCAAGTACCAGCCCACTGTGGGTGCTGCACACAGCACTGACTGCGCTCAGAACTCAGCCTCCTAATCAGCAGGTCCTGGTTTCCCTGGGCTCCCGCATATGTGGCTGCATTTAAGCTTCAGATTGGGAACACAGCCTCAGGGAGGTTGGGTGACACACCCAAGAGCACACATCTGGAGTCACTTTGATGACTCTGGACTTCCCACCCATGCCTTCCCAGTGTCCACAGCCTCCACCCGGGGACAGACACCCTACCCTCTGTCCCCGCGCCCTGACCTGGCTATGTTGGTCTCTCCCCAGACCTGCCGGTGCAAATACTAAAGCCAGCCACCTTCACGGACACAGCCCACTATCCCTTGCTGCTGGTTGTGTAAGTATCACGCCATCATCTTCTGCAAGTGCTCTTCACAATCCTGGAAACCCCCGACATTTAGATGAGAGGGGCTCCTTGCCCTCCTGGCTGCTCTGGCCACTCTGCCAGTGCTGGCTGGGAGGAAGCAGAAGCCAGTGCTCAGGGAGCCTAAACAGCATCCCCAAAGCCTCCCCTGAGCACCCTCCATGTGTGTGAGACTCTGGGGGCCTGTGTTTAGACCTCAAGACAACCATCCAGTGCCCCATCAACACCCGGAGGGTATGGAGTCCAGTTGGGTTCTTGGCATGCTGGGCACCTCCCCACGAGGGGTTTCCAGTGCTAGCACCAAAAGCACATGGAGGGAGAGGCCACCAAAAGGGTTCACACCATCCCTGTCTACCGTCACCAGCCCTTCCTAGACTCAGGGAATGGCAGGGAACATGGAGCCCATGTGGGCCTCGGGGAGCTGGGCGAGTACAAGCCTGCACTGGAGTGGCTCTGGGGACATCAGGAGTCACTCCCTGAGTGAATGACAGGTTCCCCTTGGAGCTCCAGGTGACCCTGACAACTCACCCTACCATTGTTACTCCGGGGCCTGATTCCTAAGTTACAAAGAGCCTTTGTTATAAAGACACCCAGGGCATAAATTCCAGTGTCTTACTCTGGTTTGCTATTACCACTCCTCTGGATATCTGGACCAACTTCACACTTCGCCCAAAATCCCCCTAAGTACACATACACCTCTCTCTCTCTGTCTCTGTCTGTCTGTCTGTCTCTCTCTCTCTCTCTCTCTCTCTCTCTCTCTCTCTCTCTCTCTCTCTCTCTCCTCTTTTCTCCCTCACCACATTACATTCTTACAACTTTCTAAGAAATACTACATACTTCAAAGCCAGCTTCTTTCCTGAACTCAGAGTTCTCCAGGGATCATAAGGGAAAAACTGCAAAGCCTCTCAATTTACAAAACTACCCACTTTCCTTCCAGAATCAGCTTAGGCGGGCATCCGAAGCAGAAGGAACGCAGTCAGGGGTGGCAAAACTTACCGCGTGTGCAGATGGGCTGCCGCCTGCCTCAGGGGCCAGTTTGCAGGACATGGCTTTCTGCTTGTTTGTTTCTTGCTATGACTTCAAATGTGACAGCAAGGAGATTTGGGGACTCCGACACTCCTAAGATACTAGGCCAGCAATGCCTGCTTAAAACAAAAAAATACAAAAATAAACAGGACCCACATTCACAGAGAACAATCTCATGATGAAACACAGGCCCTTCAGCTGCCAGCCCCTGGCTGCAGCTCTCCTGGGCTGTCCGCTGTCTGCTCCCCTCCAGCACCCCACGTCACCTATACCTCATGGTCCTCGCAGAAGGTGAGCTCCCCGGAGAGAAGGCTGGGTCTGCGTGTCCTGGCAGCCCTGATTTTGGAAGGGAGCATGGCCATCTGTGGCCAACCCTGGACCATCTCTCTTCCTCATCCTTCCCCTTCAAGGGGAAACACAGTCACAGCAGCGTCACAGTGTTTTGGTCAGTGAAAGGGTGTGCAAGTGACAGTGATCCCGTAGGATTCTATCACCTAGTGATGCATGTGTGAGTGCTCTGTGAAGTTCACATGGCAAAATCACCTAGCAGCGCCTTCTCAGAATGCAGCCCTGTCACTAAGGGATGTGGTTAGAAAATTTCTGTGTGAGGCAAGAGAATCACAAGTTCGAGCCCAGCCTGCATGGCTTAGCAACTCACTGAGACCTTGTAATGTAATAAAAACTAAAACCGACCTGGAAATGTAGCTCAATGCAAAAGCTCTGGCCCAATCTGCTGTACAGTGTAAAAATGAAAAGAAAAAGCCTCGCAAAACCTCTTGTGGCCAGGGTTGATTTAACACCCAGCATCCCCTTGAGAACAGCACTGCTGGCCGCAGTGCCAGGCTTCCCAAGAGCTTCAGTGTCACAGGCCTGTCACACGTGCTGCTTCTCACAGATTAACATGGGACAGAGGATTTCTGCAAATGGCACCCATGTGACACCACTGAGGGGAGAAACCTAAGACCCAGTGGCGGAGTCCCGCCAGAGTCCCGCTATGCTAGGTTAGCACCCCATGGAGTCAGAGGTGGGGTTGAAGTTTCCCTTAGCAAATAGATGGCTCCTGAGGCCAGGGCAGAGGAGGAATCCCTGGGGCAGAACCATCAGACATGGTGTCAGCCACACTGTGAGGCCCTAACTGTCTCTTCCAGGGACGGCACCCCAGGCAGCCAGAGCGTGGCTGAGAAGTTCCAGGTGACGTGGGAGACAGTGCTGGTGAGCAGCCATGGAGCTGTGGTGGTCAAATGCGATGGCCGAGGCAGTGGCTTCCAGGGCACCAAACTCCTGCAGGAAGTGAGGAGGCGGCTGGGCGCACTGGAGGAGAAAGACCAGATGGAGGCTGTTCGGTGAGCTGGGGTCCTCAGTGCTGGGGCTGCTGACACTGGCCAGAGCCCCTGCATCTCTGCCAACCATCACCATAGCAGGCAGGGGCCATAGGGAAGGAAGGACGGTGAATATGAGGGGCTGCAGATGGTCCCCTGTTACCGCGCACATCTGGGCAGTAGGAAGAAATGCACCCAGATTTTTTTTTAATTTAAGGAGAAAAAGAAAAAAACAGAAAAAGGGTACAAGTAATACAAAATTTAAAAAATAAACAGTAAGAAATCAATAGTTAATATTACATATTCTCATCTTAGAAATAGTTGTTCAAGTTACAAAATTAAAGCATATAAAGTGGACTTTCAAACAGTGAGAGTGCAAACAGTTTTGTTCAATGATCCAAAAAAAAAGTAATATGGTTATCTATCTTATACACTTAAACATATATGCAGTTATAACCTTTAGAGCACTTTCTTTTCTTTTCTTTTGTACAATGACAATTACACATTTTGAGTTTTATTACTCCCACAGTTCTTATTACTTTTTTTGAAGAGAGTAAAACCAAATGCAACATATCAGAACAGAGTCAGTCAAATCAAAAGGATGGACATAATAGATAATGTAAAAACAAAATACAAGGTGATCAACAATGGTTACCATATTACCTCTTGCTATTTTAAGAATTGCCAGTTATAATAAAATTGAACAAAACAGTAAAGAACAAAACCAAAGCATTGGAGACATTACAGGACTTTAAAAGAAGATAATAGTCAACCAGAATGGGCGTCATAATGAATCTTACTGTCTTCACAGTTGTTGCCAATACTTTCGAACTTGGTACTATCAAGCAAAGCAGAATAGGGGAAAATCAGTCAAAACAAGATGGTGAGGGCAATACAGGATTTCAAATCAAGTTAATAGGAAAGCAAAGTAGATTACTATAATGTATCCTGCTATTTTTTATTTATTTTTCCCTTAATTAAAAAGGTAAAAATAAAAAGTAAATATTTTTTTAAAAAGGGGGATTGAGATAAGAGAGGGCATAACAACAGAACAGCGCAGGTCAAAACATAACCATTTAAGCAAAATAGTGTTTCACCACAAGATATCCTGACATAAAAATAATTACCATAGTGTTTCTTTCCTTGAAATCTTTGAGTATAACTTCATATACTGTAGCACCAAACATATCAAGACACTATAAAACCATTTAAGAGAATGACATTATTACAGGGTATTTAGAACCAATTAACAGAAAATGAACAATGATTTCTGTATAATCTCCTTGCCTATAAAAGTTTTTGCTTATATTATCATATATAATAAAATCCAATAAGATACAACCTTATAAGACCAATGGAGGCAGAAGAATACAAGTTTAATGGGACTTCAAAACAAGATGATACTAAATCAGCACTAGCTATTATGATGTCGTGTTTTCTCCAAAATAGCTGTTCCTACCATCTGATCTTCTCTGCCTCATTTCTGTTGAGCTTTTTTTCTGTCCTTTGTTTTCAGTTTGTCATTCTTCATTTCGCTTTCTGTTCCATTCATTGTGGCCACTTTGCCACTATTTCTAGAATCTTGGTATTTTCCTTTTTTAGAATATCCTGTAGTATTCTCTGTAGGGTTGAACTTGTGGTTGCAAATTCCCCTAGTTCCTCTTTATCCTGGAAATACCTTGTTTTTCCATCAATTTCTAGGGGCAGTTGTGCAGGATATACCAATCTTGGCTGGAGGTTATTATCTTTCAAAGCTTGAATTATTTCCCCCCACGCTCTTTGTGATTTGATGGTTTGTGCCGAGAAGTCTGCTGTAATTCTGATGGGTGTTCCCTTGTAAGTGATCTGTTTCTTGTCTCTGACAGCTTTTAATATTCTGTTTTTATATTGGATTTCTGGAATTTTGATTATTATATGCCTGGGTGTAATTCTGTTTGGGTTGTAGGTGGCCGGGGTCCTGTATTCCTCATACATCTTAGTATCTTTACCATTTGCTAAATTAGGGAAATTCTCTTAGATTATTTCTGTGAATAGCTTTTGTAGTCCATTTGTTTGTGTCCCTACTTCTTCTTTCATGTTCTTAATTCTTAAGTTATAGATCCTCTTATCATCTTCTAGCCTTTGTATTTTTTTTTTTTTTTTTTTTTTGTCTTTTTCGTTTTTATCGGTACCAGGGATCGAACTCACGACTGCCTGCTTGCAAGGCAGGCGCTTATGCCACTGAGCTAAATCCCCAGCCCCCTTGTATTGTTGCTGGGGTTTTTTTGTTATTTTTAAGAAGTTTTTCATTTCATGCTCCCATATTACAAATCTTCCCTCCAGTTCAGATAATCTATCCTTAATTTCTTTCAAGCTGTTATGCCACTTTTTGATAGAGTTTTTAGTTTTCTGGTAATGTCTTTGAACCTGCTTCACGCATTCTATGTTTTCTCTATTTTCTCCATCAAACAATTCTCCCCTTTTTTTCTGTTCTTCCATTCCACCATCTGTTTTTTCTTGGGCAGTGCTTAGCATTTCTCTAACTATTCTATTTATATCTTGCTTCAGGTCATTAATAACTTCATTCCTGAACTCGTCTATGAGGCTCTGCAGATAGCGCTTTATGTCTATTGATGCTGTGTCTGATATTGCATGTTTCTCAGGATTGGGGGCCGAGGACTCTTTCTTGTTGCTCCCTCTTCCCATATTTTTTGTTCCTGCTATACAAGCATGTATAGGAGGCCCAGTTTCTTTCCTTGTCATTTACCGTTTGTTTGAATTGCACCGGCTAGGTGTTCCCGCCCACTGCAGTGTACTAGGGAGACACAGACCTGGGCAGCCTATGCTGGGTCCTCCCCTCCAGGTCAACCTACCGAAGGCTTCACTGCTAGGGTGCACCTCCAGGCTCTGGGACCTGGTTTGGGCTAGCTTACTGGGTCTTAGTCAGCGGCATCACCCAAGCCAGGCACTCCCCACCAATCCCGCTTGAGAGAGGAATATGTGACTGAAGTCACTGCAACAACCTGTTCTGGCTAGTCTGCCCGGTCCCAGTATGTCCTTTGCTGAAGCCTCCTACTCTATGGAAGGGTCCCCGATCCACTCACTCACCTCAGGTCAATGCTCCCGGCCAGTCCTGCTCTCAACTCCATTCACCGCTTCCCACTCTCAGAGCTTTCACGCCTCTGTCCTTGCCGTGCCAATTGGGATGCAGCAGTGGCTGCAGGAAATTCAAATCACGGCTTCCAGTGGCGCGCACCCCAGCTTCCGCGCTGAGACCTTATCTGTTCCTGTTATATCACCGAGATTGCATTTCCATTTGGTTTCTCTTAGTTTAGTTCGTTCCTGGGTTGTCAAAGTATATCTCCCCTTGCTTAGGACTTCTTGCCTGGCACCATTCCTGGATTTTAAGTGCAGTTTCTCAGAGAGCCTCCAAAGCTGTTGCTATCTATCTGCCATGTTCTCCCCAAAGTCCCCAATGCACCCAGATTTGAGGGCTCCTCTTGTGCATCCTGGTCACCAAGGCTGCAAGACCCACCCTCCCCAGACCCCTGAAGACAGGCAGTGCTTGATGTTAAGGCGTGGGCACTCACAGGCAGTTATTGGGTTGCATTGTTTTCTGGAAATAAAAAGACACAGAGAACCCACATCAGGCGACCATGGTCCTCAGTGTGACTCCCGCTGAAAGAAGGGTGGAGAACTCTTTACCAGGCACAGATGCAGGTGCTCAGGGTGACAAAAGCACACATGGTAGGGATCCATGGTGATAACAGCTCCCCACCATGGGATGCAGATGTAGGGAACACAGAGCCTGGTCAGTGAGACCTGGTGCACCAGGGAACATGCATATCAGCGGGATCTCTGTACTGGCCTGGCACTGGTGTCCTCTGCCACATAGAAGAGTTCATGTTGCTGGCTTTTCAGGGCCTCGTCCCCTTGTTTATCAAGACTGAGAGCACATGGATGCTCATGACAAATGATTCTAAACAATCCAAGAGTGACGGGAGAAGCCGTCCCTCCACCAGGAGTCGTGGGCCTGGTGAAGACCGAGGAAGCAACTTCTTCAAAGCTACGTGTTACAGATGGGAGACGCAGCAGGCAGAGTCCGGGGTCCCACCCTGGGGAGGGGATGGCCAGGCCAGCAGCCTGTGGGGTGCATGCAGGTCCTTTTCATCCTGCTGCACCTGCTCTGACTCCCCCCACTGGGGGCCCAGGTGGAACCTAAGCATCTGCTCAGCACCACAGGTCCCTGAGAGCTCAGAACCCAAGGCAAGAGGCTGCTTCTTCACGTACAGGGGATCAGACCTGAGGAGTGGGCACAGCGCATGTCCGAACACAAGGTGGAACCTCTTCCAGAAACAGTCATTGGGTCACCTGAATCCCAGAAGCTCACGGCTTGAGGGCTCAGGACATCTGCAGGCTAGGACATCAGAAACAACACTAGTGCCCAATGGCCTCTGGCCAGAGGAACTGTAATGAAGCTTCCTTAAGAAATGTTCCTTCTTCAGGGAGCAGCAGCAATTTTAGCAGGAGGTCAAAATCAGTAAGACCAGAAATCACTCGTGCCCCACAGCTCCCTAACCTGTCAAATTCCCCATCTCCCACCTCGCCTTCCCCCCACACTCACTTCCCATCTTCAGGGAACAAGCAGAGGTATCTGTGCCAAAAAAAAGTGGAGAGCGATCGAGGCCCTTGGGGTAGGCCCAGGGGAGCCACTCAGACCTGCACCCCAGGACTAGAAGCAGCAAGCTGGTTTCCAGGCTAGGACATAAGAAACAACACGGGGCCCAGGGCCAGGATCTTTAAGGAAAAAAGAATAGGTTTGGCACTGGACACCAGTGCCAGTCCCAGCACTCAGGAGGCTGAGACAGGAGGCTCCTTGCAAACTCGAGACTTGCCTGATCTACAAAAGGCCACCCTGAACTGCATAGGGAGACCCTGTCTCAAAAAGACAAAAATAGAAGAAGAAGAGGAGGATGAGGAGGAAGGGGAGGAGGAAGAGGAGGATGAGGAGGAGAAGAAAGAAAAGAAAAAAAAGAAAGAAAGGAAGGAAGGAAGGAAGGAAGGAAGGAAGAAGGAAAGAAGAAAGAAAGAAAGAAAGAAAGAAAGAAAGAAAGAAAGAAAGAAAGAAAGAAAGAAAGAAAGAAAGAAAAGAAGGAAGGAAGGAAGAAAGAAACAGGAGTTTCCACCACTCCAGAGACTCTACTGTGAAGGAGCCCAAGAGAGCCACAGGCCAGCCTTGGGCACACTGAGACTCACAGAGTGGGTAGGCCATGGGGACCAGAGGAAAAAGAGAGGGCATCGGGGGCAAGGTGGACACACAGCCTGTGGCAAGCTCACGGAAGAAACTGCGATCTGACTTCCCGCCCACTGGGCCCTCTTGGCTCCCTGGGCAGGAGCAGCCCACAGGTGGAAGGCATGCCGGCCCTCAGCCTGTGCCCACCCTGGCCCAAGGCAAGCAGAAGTAATGTACCATCCCTCCACACCCACCTCCGTCTGCCCTGGGGCCCCGCATGCCACAGCTCCTGCACTGGCTCAGGCTCATCATGCCACCAGGAGGCTGCACAGCCTCTCGGCTCTCAAGGCTCTGCTGTCCTGATCTTTGTTGTATCCCAGCATGGAGGACAGCCCTGCCTGGGGGGCACCCTGAGTGTCACCCATGTCATCATCCTTACCGCCTTCTCCTCCCCTATGGCTGTCCCACTTCTGGAAAGGGTGTTTGTCCACGTCACCTGGGCCTCCTTCCACCTGCACCTGGGACTGAGCTCAACACTCACGAGACAAGATGCTTCCACCAGGACACCGTGCAGGACATGCTCAGTGGTTGACTGTGGCCCAGAGCCAGAGCCCCTCTGCCTGTGCTGACCTCAGAGAAGCACCCCACAGCCCCTGTGCCTGGGAGTCACACGCCTATAAGTGGGGGATTAGGGGGCAGGTCAGCAGGAGTGGCCTTGAGCTCTGCAGATGCTGCATTTGCTCAGGGGCCCACAGAGGGGCCGCACAGTGCTCTGAGTCTGGAAATACCCTGGGCACTAACTAAACAAAAGTAGTGAGCCATCATATGAGCACCAGGACTCCTCCATCGTGAAGAGGGGTTCTCCTGCCTGAAAGGATTGGGGGGACGCGTGGGCCTTGGGGCACAAAGTCCCACTACAGAGAGCCCTGACCCTCCTGGTTCTCTCTGGCTGCAGGACGATGCTGAAAGAGCAGTACATCGACAAGACGCGAGTGGCGGTGTTCGGACAGGTGAGTCTCCCTGTCGTCTCTGGGCAGGCAGGGGGGCTGCATCCTGCCAAGTTCCTTCCGGCTCACTGGGAAGTCTCTTCCTTGGTGGGAGCGTGAGTTCTTCCTGTGAACTGAGTTGCATTCCCAGCCCTTTTTCACTTTTTACTTTGAGACATGGTCTAATTGCATCACTAAGTTACCCGGATTAGGCTCAAATTTGTGATACTGCTGCAGGGTTGGTGGCCCACATCTGAAATTCCAGCACTTCAGAGACTGAGGCAGGAAGACTGCTGCAAGTTCAAGTCTAGCCTGAACTAAGGTGACTCACTGTCTCAAAAAAATAAATAAAAGTAAATACAAAGAAAATCATGATCTTCCTGCCTCAGCCTCTCAGAGTTAGTCACTGCTTTCTGAAGAACAAGAGGTAAGGCTCAGCAATCCCAGCAGTGGGAGCTTCCTGGGTTAGCTCACTTACCTCTGCTTCTTGAAGAAAGAAGAGAGGAGCCAGGTCTCCCCTGGAGGGGGCGCCCCAGTACTTTCCCTCCCAGGCCAGTGGGCTCCCACTACGGCACCCAGAATGGGGAGGCAGGTGTCTGCCCCTGATGTCTGTGTTTGGTGAGAGGTGCAGAGGAGCATGGGAAACTCAGCCACTTCCACTCTCATGGGGCCTGACCTGGTACAGCCCAAGCAGAGTCACACTCACAGTCACACACACTCATGCTCACACCACACCCACATGTGCTTCCACACTCATGCACATATACACTCATGTACACATGCTCATATACCTACACATGTGCACACATCTACATGTACTAAAGGCTCACACACCTAGCCACACATGTTTGCACGCTCACACTCACACATCCACATAGCCCCACGTGCGTGCACACACACACTACACCCAGCACACTCCTCCTGGAAGCTCACACCTCCCTCGGCCTACCCAGTGCCGTCCCTGGTTCCTGCCTCCACTACTCCCACCCATCTTGGCAGATGGCAGCACCTCTGAACCAAGGGTGTGTGGAAGACTACGGTCAAGGCAGAGCAGAAATGGAGGGTTCCCCCTCTGCAGCAGCACCAGGCCTGCACCTGGCTGGGGCACTGGCATTCGCCTCTCTCCAGGGGCGTCCAGTCTGTGGCTGGCCTAGCCTGCAGACCCAGGGTGCTGGAGGGTGTGTGTGCCAAGTGTTGCCCCGCAGCACACCCATCTTCTGTCCCCTGGTGCTGTGCCCAGAAGGTGGGGACCTCACAGCACACAGGATGTAGCTGGAAGGGGTCTCCTTTGCATCTCCACCTACTGCCCTGGAAGAAACTTTACAGTTGCAAAAATTCCTAAAATCCTCACTAACGCTTTGCTTCTCTCTCTGAACTTCTCGTGGCGGAGGCCGGTTTCTGTGAGCGCTGACACTGACTCAGGCCCTGCCCCCTCCCTCTCCTTTGTGCCCCTCTCCAGGACTATGGCGGATACCTGAGCACCTACATCCTCCCGGCCAAGGGGGAAAACCAGGGGCAGGTGTTCTCCTGTGGCGCAGCCCTCTCTCCCATCACGGATTTCAGGCTCTACGGTAATGGGCTGCAGGGACCAAGAGTGCTGTCCCTAGCAGGGCCTGTTCCCCTCAGCACCTCTCTCCCTGGTCCAGGTGACCCGCTGTTGGGCACCCCCAGTTCGCACTGAACCCCGGGTCAACTCCCCCATCTGTGCTGAGCACCAGCAGAATTAGGGCAGAGTCTCGAGTTGTTTGTTGGGATGAAAGCCGTGAGCTTCCTAACACCTACAAATCACACTGAAATGAAGCAGGGGTTGTCTGTCTGCTTAGGGTTCTGATCAGGACTGGTTTCGTTTTGCTTGACTGCTGTCCTGAGAAAAGCTAGTTTCCACCTCTGACACATTTGAACACCATCCCCTCTATCTGATCTCCCCCAAGCCTGAGAAATGTAGAAGATGATGTTTGCTAAAAGCCAGAATCCACTGCGCAAGTGGCAGCCCCCCCCCCCCATATCCTAGTCCACCCCCAGAGCCTGGATGCTACATCCAGGGCCCTCAGGGCACTAGTGACCCTCCCTCTGCTTCTGTACAGCTTCTGCATTTTCTGAACGGTACCTGGGCCTCCACGGACTTGACAACAGGGCATATGAGGTACGTGTAACACAGCTGCCACTGGACTCTTTCCTCACCCCTCTCACCAAGACTGCAGCTCGGCCCCACTCAGCAACAGCTTCCCCCTCTCTACACCAAAGCTAAGCCCCCTGGGGACTGTCCCCTCTCAGGGCCGCCTGTCCCCATGGCTCGACTCGGGGAGAAGGAGGAAGCTGAGAGATCCCTGGGCCTGACATCTGTCCCAGGCTTATGAGACACTGGCTGTCCCTCAGGAGGGTGCAACAGGAAGCTCCTCTCTCCCTTTGGCCACACCAAGCAGTGACTCAGTGAGATGAGCACAGGGTACACCATGGCTGACAGGACTGGTGTGAGCCTCCTGTGTGGACAGAGGCCGTGGGCCTGCCCAAATCCATTTCCCAAGTGAAGAGGGTATCCGCAGAGGCCACCTGTCCCTGGAGGAATCCCACTTCCTTCCTTCTCCTCCCAGCACCCCGAGAGGGGGCCCTATAAGGAAGGGAGCTGAGGCTTCTGTCCTTGTCATTTTCATTGTGATACAGAGATCCCTGCTTTCCTGGGCCAGTGTCTCCCAGACTTTTCCTCTAGCTGTGTCCACTTCTCCATCATGTGTCCTGCAGCCACTAACCCTGTGCCCTTGTCTACTTGTGCAGATGACCAAGGTGGCCCACCGACTGTCAGCGCTGGAGGGACAGCAGTTCCTGCTTATCCATGCCACCGCAGACGGTGAGGATCTGATGCCACTGCCGCGGGGTGGGGGGGATGCGCCCAGAGGGCATGGGCACTTACCCATGGAAACTTACCGCTTTACTTTGCCTTTCTTACAGAAAAAATCCACTTCCAGCACACAGCAGAGCTGATCACCCAGCTCATCAAGGAAAAGGCTAACTACACCTTACAGGTACAGCCTGCGCTTCGGGGGTCTCAGCCTTCGTGCCCTGTGTAGTTCCACCTGTGACCGCGGACACTGTCAAGGCATCCACTGTCTCAGTCACATTCCTGTCGCTGGGTCACAATGCCTGACACTGGAAGCTGACAGGAGAGGCCTGTGGAGGGGTCAGTCCATAGTCATTGGGTTCCAAGGCAGGGCGGCACATGGCAGAGGGGCAGGGTGGAAGAAAAGCTGCCCACACCATGGCCGCAGGAAGCAGAAAATGAAAGGAGGAAGCCAGGAGGCTGAGTGAACCTTCCAGGTTATGCCCCAGTAAGCAGAACTCATCTCCCCAACAAGTCAGCAGTAACGATCTGTAAGCCAATCACCTCCCAAAAGTCCAGCCTGCCATTGCACGAAGCATTGGGCACATCTAGATAGAAGCCATGAGTGTCTCAGGACCACCGTCCACAGCTGTCCCGGTACCTGGCCTGGCCTCACCGTCCTCACCTACTAACTTTATGCCGCAAACTTCTCCCATTTCCTTTTGCACCCCAGATCCTTTGGTGGAACGGGTATGACCTGGTGGTGTTGTATGACCTGGTGGTGTTGGGAGTCTAGAGATAAAGGAGACCTCAGCCACACACCTGCCCCCCTCTAGGAGGGGCTGCTGGGTACCAACCATCACCTGGCTCTGTCTCTAGCAAGCAAAGGACATGTGAATGCGGGCAGGTCAGGGAGAGCAGGAAGGGAGGCCGTCCCTGAATGGACGGAAGGACGTGGTTATGGGATGTTTGGGTTTGCATCTGGAAACTGTAATGAAGAATTCGGTGCCCACACATCTGACTCTTGGATTAAAGGCGTCTCCTCCCGTATGTGCTGACGGGGCCACCCTGGAGTGTACACCAGGTACCGAGCAGGAGGCCCTGCTGCTTCATCGAGGCCAGTGAGGGGCCCACCTGGAACCAGGCATGAGAGCACAGCAGGTCTTAGCAGATACCTGGCAAGTTTGTAGCCATGGCCAGCTGCAGACAGGAACAGAGGGCACCAGAGGCAGAGGGGACACAGGGCGGCTTTGTTCCCTGTGGTACACTCTACTATAAATACCTCCTGACCAGAAGGCATAGTTAGTGCAGTGAAGTGAAGGAAGAGAGGACTCTAACTGCAGGGCAGCTGGGGTCACAGGAAGGATGACCTCCAAGTCAGGCTGGAGCCCAAGGGCACGGGAATGGTGCAGCATCCCCAGGCACGGGAGCCATGTGCTGGCCAGAGAATACACCCTCTCGGCTGGCATCCAGCTCAGACTGCTGAGCCCGTGAGCCACCTCCATCCCCGGCCTCTCAGGGCTCTGCAGGGATCACACCATTAATCCTCACAGAGCGTGTTGGTCCGGTTCTGGTGGGTGCATCCTCTCCCTGTCACTCCTGAAGTCCGAGGCCCAGGGATGTGAGTGTGGTATGGTCAGATGCAAAGATTCCAAGATAGTGTGAATTCTTCCAGTGCAGACCCAGGCTGTGCAGCCACGTTCAGACAGGCAAGTCTGGACTGCAAGGGGTGATGCTCTTTCTAACCTACTCAGCCGTCACCAAGCTCCCCGTGCCAGGCAGGGGGAGAGGTGCTGGGGAGTGTGGCAGCTTTGTGATCAGAGGTTCCAGCCTTCTGGAGCAGGCAGAGCTCTGGGCTAAAGGCACCTCTCTGTGGAGGCTGAAATGGTTAGGGAACTCATATGCAAGTAAAACTCAGAGGCTGTGGGCCTGGGATGGCCTTGGTTCCTGCTGCACCTCGTGGTATCCTGGAGGAAGAACACGGTGATAACACCATGCCCCGAATTGCTTGCAGATATACCCAGATGAAAGCCACTACTTCCACAGCCCTGCACTCAAACAGCATCTATACCGGTCCATCATCAACTTCTTTGTGGAATGCTTCAGGATCCAGGACAAGCTCCCAACAGCCATGGCAAAAGAGGACGAGGAGGAAGACTAACACCTGGCTGCTCTGAGCACAGATGGCTCTCTCCACTATAATATGCAAAGAGGAGTCTCCTGCTGCTCCCTCTGCCCTGGGGTGAGGGCGGGTGGGGCAGAGTCAAGGACCTTCCCTAGCATGTGTGTCTCAGACTCGGAAGGTGGTTTGGCGGGGGGGAGATGCTTCCCCATGCAGCCTGGAACACACCCCCCCACCCCGTTCAGCAGCATCACCTCCTCCTGGCCCCACAGTGACAGGCACGTCCCACAGTCCTCCCCCAGGGACACAGCAAAGGACAGAGGGCAGTGAGGGCCACCTGGGAGCCCCAGGAAGCCAGCCCTTAGTGCAAGCATCCAACCAGTAGCATTAGCCCCTGCCCTTCTGCAAGGAGCACCACGTTCCAGCACACAGCGGCCTTCGACAGCTCTGAAGAGCCCAGCCGTGGGCAGTGCATGGTCAGGGCCCAGACTGGCCCTTGCTGTAATTATGACCTCCAAGCTTGTCTGGGCTGCACCAAGAAAACAGACCCATCCTGTATAAAGCATCACTGTAGCTATGCTAGTGGTTTGCTGTCTAGAATTCGCTCACATGTTTATGTTTTAATCTGATGAGCACTGCGTATACTGGTTTTGTTGTTTCTTTTTTTCTTGTTTTCTTTTTTGTTTTCTTTCTTCCTGTTACTGCTTTGTTTTGCTTTCTGCTTGCCATTTGTTTGGGTAGCGAAATAGAACCGAAGTCCCTGCTCCCTCCTCCCTATTGTCCTCAGATTTTGTGGTGGCATTTTAGACATGGAGGGAAAACATACCCAGTACTGCCCAGTAACGGAACACGTACACAAATCCTCTCTCCACTGAGCTGCACTAGGGTTCTCTGAAGATCAACATTGTCTGTTCATCTATGTCCTTGAAACTGTCCTTTTCCTCCTTGATGAGTTGTCGAGTCTTGTCTGATAACATGTGGTTAAAAAGTATAAACAGACAAAGTCCTGGTGCACCCTGAAGCTGGAGTCTCGGTCACAGAAATTCTAAGCCAAGGTCACAAGTGCACCTCCTCGATCCTGGGAGCGGTGCACTCCCCTGTGCCCCGGCAGGACAGTGACGCTGGTCTCCACCAGCCTTGTAAGATACACGCTGGCCAGATGTACAGCCACTGCCCCCCATGTATATCTCATTCTGTTGTATATAAGAGAGGAATGTGTGTCCGGCGTTTGTGGTGTCCCCCTTGCATGTGGACACCGTGGCTGATCTGGACTCTAGAGCGCTAGGCTGAAGTAGGTCAGTTCCCATCTTTTCCTTTTGGGCTTGGTGATAACCTGACTTCCAGCTTCTGGGCCTGCCGGGGGTGTCCTTGGCACCCTGTCCAACGAGGAGAAGTATCCATGTCACTCTATGGTGTTGGGGGTTTGGTTCCAGACGTGTGAGCTTTGAACGCCAGTTCCAGCCAGGTCTGTGGGAGGAGCTCCATCCCAGGGTGGCTCGGAGGTGACAGACACACACAGGGCTGTGTGTGAAGAGGAGCAGGGCACTGGCCACCAGGACTGGCCACTGTGCTGTCTGGCTGTGCTTCTGCTGTTTGTTTCAGTGAGGTCCGGATGGCGACACCAGCTCTGGCCCCGAGACCTGGCTGGAGGGATGTGGGGATTCGGCATGGTAGCGTCTGTTCATCCATGGAATAAAACATTATTTTACCACTTGGATGGCTCTTTTCTTGCTCCTCCACTACTGAGTCCTCTCCCAGAGTGGTCGAGGTAGAAGTACTCATGGGGGCCCCAGGACAGGCACATAGAGTACCAGGTGTGCAGGGGCCAACACCCGCAGGACCCCTCAGTGGCGTCCAAGCCAAGGCAATCATGGGGGGAGAGCCGTCTGTCCAGATGGCTGGGGAGATGCGACTGAGCCCCAGCACTGAACGGAAATGTCTGTCCGTGGGGTCACCGCATTGCCCAAGGGAGAGTTTCAGGAAAACTTCTCTGTCACAAATGTGTGCAATCATCGTGCTGTGAGTCACTGACTCTGGTGTAACCCAGCCCCGCCTGATGGCACAGGGACTGACCCTGCATCCCACAGCAGCTGCCACCTCAGACTCAAGGTCCGCCCTGTCACTGCGTTGGATTATCTGCCCTGGCTGCCTTTCTTGGTCAGTACCAGAGCTGCAGAGGCCATGGGATGCATCCCCTGGCTGGGTCCTCCTGAGCTCCCCGGCCTCCCCTAGGAGTTGTTCCCCTCCTCCCCCAACCTTTCTAACAAGTGTCTCTCCTGGGTGGGGGCTGGAGCTGCAGGCAGGACTTGAAGAGGCCCACAGGAAGGGGCATTTTCCACTTTGGGAAACACTGAGAATGGGCACAGCCCCCAGGATCCCCTGCTTCCCACCAGGAAGACCCTCTGTCCTCCCCAGCTCTAGAATAGCTCTGGGAACACAAGGCAGGCCCAAGGGCTCCTCCAGGCCCCCAGCTGTGCCTCTTCCTCTGTGGTCTGAGCCTCCAGGCTTCCTTGTGTGCTCGGCAACCTGGATCCTCTGTCCCCTGCTTGACTGTCTCAGAAGGACCTGGACACTTACCTCCTCCCTTGTCCTCCTTGGCTCCTGAGTGGGTTCCTCAGGGGTGCTGAGCAGAACCAGTAGGAGCCTGAGAGAACAGATGGGCACACAGTAGTGGTCCAAAAAAACATAAAGCAGGACCTGGACCACATCTACAGAAAGCTGGGCACACACAGCAGCTAGGCAATAGGAACCACCAGTAAAGACAGCTGCTCTGACTGTTGGCTGCCAGTGCAGACCTGCTGGGAAGTCCTAGAGGCCACTCTCCCTGTCCCAACACCCTGACCGGTCACCAGTCTCTCTGAAGCCACCGATGCCTCCCTGTGCAAGAGTGGACTTTGTTTCGTTGCTTTGAACCCAGGTCTCACTTTTGTAGTCCAGGCTGGCCTCAAACTCACAGAGATCCATCTTCTTGCCTCAGCCTCTCAAGTACTGAGATTATAGGCGTGCATCCCCTACACAGCTCTGAGAGTAGTATTTTTAAAATAGGTGGTAACTACTCTAAACTTGTTGCTTTGGAGAGAAAAACATCTCTATCACATCTCCAAATTCTGTTTCCGAGCACATGGAGACCACAGGCCCTTTGTGGCTTAGAATGCACCATCCCGTATATGGTTCTCTAAAGAACTCCACACATCAGTAGTTTAGTGTCTTCAAAGGATGGAAACAATCATCTGCTCAATGTCCACATGCTTGAAGACAGGACTGAATGACTGTGACGGTCCCCTACTGCGGCACCCAGATATCCTGAAATCTGTGCAGCACAGGATGATCGGGGAGTGCCAGGGAAAGGCTTCCCTCCGATGGAAAGAAAAAGAAAAACAAAGGAAACCCCTTGACCTATGGGCCTGTCCTATTCCCAACAGGCAAATATTCCTGTGGGGGCTGATTTCAAATGGGCACCTGGCACTGGACACAGTCCCTTACCACAGCACCGTAGTCAACACCTGTCACCTGACCTTGGGGTGAATCGTGATGGGGTACTGGTCACTTCTGCCCATGTGACAAGTAGTCCCCCCAGGTCCTGCTCTGGGCTGAGCTGTCCCTTGGAGGAACAGGGCATGGAGGGAGGAGGAATAGGCACCCTAGTCCTGACCAGGCTGTGCTGAGCCCACAGCAGGGGACCAGCAGAGAGACCAAGGCAGTGACCACAAGACAATGAACACAAGAACAGGTGTCCAGAGCCCACAGCAAGCTCCCCTGTTGTGGCCAGCTCACGTATAACTCATCTGGCTCCTAACATTAAAGGTCCTGCAGCCATCAGTTAGCACCCCAAGTGGACCTGCAAATGTTTCTTCAATTAGTCAGTCAGCTGGGGACTCACCTACTGCAAAGCTACCCTTCATAAAGTCTCAGTTACAGCTCGGAGGTGGCAAGCGCCCACCTTCTCTTCCTCTCCCTCCCTTTCCCCTTTTCTTGCAGTCTCTTTCTTCCCCTCTTTCTTCCTCTTCCTCCTCCTGCCTCTCTCCCCTTTCTCCCCCATCTCTTCCTTCCTCTTCCCCCAGTTGGGTGGTCTAGGTGTCTGGAGCCCTAGAAGCTACAGTGACAGAGGCAGACAAGGGAGGAGGCCTTTGGATCTGGGAGCCCTGATGCAAGGCAAGTACACTTCCCCTGAGCCTGCTGTATGGCTCTAGCAAATTGCTGTCCCTCTAGCTTTCCTTCATATTATTTATGAAAATAAGTATGACCACCGGGCTGGCTTCCTGTGGCCACCCTCAAAGTCTCATAAAGGAGGCAGCCAGGACAACAGAATCCTGGGCTGGACTCCAAAGACAGGGTGCAGGCAGGATGGTCCCCTATCCCATCAAGTGCTGGAGAAGGACTGTCTCAGTTACTTTCCTCTCGTAGCTGAGACAAAATACTTGAGGCCAAAATTAGGGAAGGAAAGGCTTATTTATCTTTCAGTTTTGGGGGTTTCAGTCCATACTCAGCTGACTCCAAAGCAGATGGCATGATTGAGGGGCAATCATTCATGGCAGCTGCAAACAGAAAAAGCGAACAAGGCAAAATGAGAAAGACCTGCCTTCTTCCCACCCTTACACTGTATGCTGGCTCCACCCGTGGGCGGGTGCAGCACTCACACCACCAATCCCAGCGCCAGGCAACAAACCAATCACAAACGCTAGATTCAACTACATCCATGATTGCATGAGGCCTTGAGGCAGGGGGCATCTGAACACAAACCATAACAAAGACCTATTACTCCCACCAGTCCCTGGCTTGTGGCCCCACCTTGGAAGCCCTGTGTGACTTCAGTCCCCATCTCCTGTGTGGAAAGTACCCGCTAAAAGACCCATTATTCTTGGTCACCTCTGTGCACACTGTCCTGAAATCAGGTCACATTAGAAGGCACTGCTGGGGAGGTCTTCAACAATCCAGCCCACAGCCACCTCCTTCTGGGAGTTAGCTTGGTGAGTGGGGTGAGGAAAGAAGCCTGCCCAGCTCTCCAGAAGCCTTACACTTGAAACTCAGATCAATGAGTTTCAAGGTGATTTCTCAGGATAGTTCGTGTGGCACATGGGGTATACAAAATGTGATTAAAATATACGGTAAGTGCTTTAAGTTTTAAAAATCTTACAATAAAAGATAATGAACTGTTCAGTCAAACATCTTTATCCCGCCATTCCTGCTGCTTTGTTATTGCTATTGTTGAGACAGTCTCACTTTGGAATTCAGATTGGACCTGCTCTCATTACTTAGCTCAGGTTGGGCTGGAATTCAGGGGAATCCCCCTACCTCTGCCTCCCAGGGTGCTGGGATCATAAGTGCGCACCTCAAACCCAGCTCCTGCCACTTCCTGAAGCACAATAGTGTCTTTAGGAAGTGGGATCAAAAATACAAGAACTGCTGCAACTACACGTCCCCACAGAAAGGCAGACAGGTGAAGATGCAGCGCTGTGCTCTTGCTCACTTGTGTTTTGGCACTGTGTGGCCTTTAGCCCTTCTCCACCGTCAAAGTGACCAGGGCACAAAACTCAATTTTTGAACCAGTTCATGACACTAAGCAGCCAGGACACCGCAGCTGCAGACATGAGAGGCCCGCTCTGAATTTGCACAGAGTCACCTGTGGCCAATGAGCAGGACCCTCGGGGTGGCCTCCGTGATCCAAAGGCAGAGCTGTGCCTGTGGAACCTGGGGCTGGAAAGCTTGGGTCAGCCTGGGCCTGGGAGCTGTCCTTTTCCTGCCTGTCGCCTGAGAGCCACCAGCAGGGGGCAGCAAAGGCCGCACTCTGGTCACTATGTGCAGAAATAAGGACCTTGGCATCGTGTCATGGAGCCCCCAAGACTGCACAGTGAGGCACACGAGGGGGAGCCCTGGAAGTCACTTGCACATTAATGCAGGGCAGAAGGGGACCAAGAGCCAGAGCTCAGGAGAGAGAGGGATGTGCAGGGGGTCTTGGGCCGAGGCCACTGGGCAGGCTGCAGGCATGGGAGGTGCAGCGCAGCATCCCGAGGCCTTAGCAAGTACAGTGCTGGGCAGCGGGGGCCACCAGCATGCTCCCCCTCTTCCATCTCCACAGCATCCCAAGGGCAGTGACTCTGGGTCATCGTGACATCCTCAGAAAACATCAGTGCAGACAACACCACAGCAACACCACTGCACGTGCAGGAGGGGGACGTCTGTGTCTCAGCAGAGGGTGTTCAGCAAATGCCAGTGTCAGGGCCCTACCCGGCTGCTACCACCCCTCCAGCAGCAGCTAGCACTGAAGCTGTGCCAGGATCCTGGAGGAACTGAGTCCCACCAGCGCCTGGGACCTACGGGACGAAATTTAGAGATGGACCTGGCATGCTGAGGTCACAGGAGCACCAAAGGGTGGTCAAAGAGGCCCATAGCTGGTGGGGCCCATGGGCCTCTCACACTTGGGTATGACTTAGGGCTCAGGTACTTGAACCTGCACTGAACCTCTTCCCAGTCCATGATCAGGAATGAGGGTTGAGGATCGAGCTGCATGCTAATTTCTTACTCTTTATGTAAACTATGAAGGGCAAAAGTATGAACTAGGGAAATGAAGAAAGAGCCTCACAATCACATTAGCAGCAAATGGTAGGGCTGGGGATTTAGCTCAGTGACACAATGACTGCCTGGCAAGTGTGAGGTCATGAGTTTGATTCCTGGTACAAAAAAAAAAGCAAATGCTAGCATTCTGGGAGGCTGAAGCAGGAGGAGCACAAGCTCCAGGCCAGCCTTCAACTTAATGACTAAGGAAGAGCTTGTCTCAAAATAAAAAATTTTAAAATGCTGGGGATAAAGCTCAGTGCAAAGGCCCTGTGCTCAGTCCTCAGGAACACACAACACACATGCACATTTTGCTGTTCAAACCCACACTGTGTCTTCAGAGGCCTGCCCTCAAACATGTGCCTCCATTCACTGCTAGAGCCACAGTGCCAGAGAACCCATAGGGATACCCAAGGCAGCCCTGGGTTGCAGTCGTCTCCATGTCTCTCCAGGACAAGCAATGTGCTCCCCACAGGCAGCCCAAGAGACGGATGCTCTCAGCCTCGGGAGTCAGCCTGCCACTAGCATCTCCTTGGGAGCACCGTAGGGCGTCACTGCGAGGGGGCTGTTCTTCTTGCCTCTGCTCCTTGGTCCCCAAGCAGAAAGCAACAGGAGCGATTTTGCAGCTCTGTGTGAGGCCTTTGGGGTTTGGTGGTGAAATGTGGGATGCTGTGGCCAGCTCTTAAACTCAGCCACTTCTGCAGCCAGACTTGGGTAACTTCGTTCTTACTGCACACAGGGATAGACTTTTCAGAAGTTTGATTTTTCCCAAGGGGAATGAAAGCATGCGTGTGTGTGTGTGTGTGTGTGTGTGTGTGTGTGTGTGTGTGTGTGCATATGTTCACAGGTTCAGTAAAGAAATGTACAGTCCTCTCTAGAAAACTTTCCATCTGGAAAGACACAGGGCTAAGGGAGATTTGCCACGCCCAGTGCGAAAGCTGAGGTCCTTCTCGTCACCACCCCAAAACACCAGATGACCACAGTCATCATGATGACCACAGTCACACACAACTTCTGCATTGGGAAATATCTGAAAACAGGAGGACACTGAAATAAAAACCAAGTCTTTTACATGCAGACACAAATCAACATTCACTAACAGACAAATAACAGACAAATACTGACAGAAAATACTCGAAACAGCTGAGATCACCAGAAAGCTTTCCATGCTGGGGTGTGCACATTCTTCGGCCCAGTGCCCTGTTCCTCCGAGATGAGCCCTGTACTGTCATGACCCACCTCCCTCCCCAACAACCCAGACACCGGCCCAGAGAGAAAACCAACCATCAGCATGGCCGTGTCGCTTTGGCTGTAGAGTGTGCCTCGGTTCACAAACTCAGTTCTCTCCACGATTCTGCTCACAGACCAAATTGGATGAGAACCAAATCAAATTTCCTCATGAGCTCTACTGTGAACCTAACTACTGAACTGGATTCAGTTCTCATCCAGTTTGTTTTGTGACCAGAATCATAGGAGGAATCAAATTCATGAGCCAACAGACTACCGTAGTAGTAAGGTGAACAACAAGGACGGAATCAAAGGTCACCTGGATGCCAACAAACCTTAAGAAGCCATGCACACCCCTTCGCCAGGGCACGAGGCCTGCGATTTCTGTGAAGACCATTAGGCCACCCATGTACTGACCCATACTCATTCAGACCACGAGTTTCTTCTGGGCATGAGCAGCAGCACAAGAGCTCCAGCAGCCCCTGAGATAAATGCCTTCTCCTTTGGCTGCATCCCTCCAATGATTCATCCACCAAACCCAGCCTTCTGCCACACCAGACAGGCCCTGTGACACCCCTGCATTCCCGGGGACCTGTCAGCTTTCCCAGCTGTAAGCCTGTCTCCCAAGGCTGTCTCTCCCCCAGTTGCTGTGACAGAGTTCTCCTCATGTGTGCTGGTCTCCTCTGCAGCCACGATAGTCATTTGACTGTCCCCTCTGCTGCCCTGGCTGCAAAGACCCGAAGAGCAGACTGGCCACGATTTGGTGGCTTGGTCACTCTCCTTTCCACTCGGATTGTGTGGTTCCTCACTCCTCCTATCTATGCTCGAGGCCTGGGGAAGGGTCAGCATCGCTGGGGGCCTGGAATAAACCCTGGAGGTAGGAAGGATGTGTCCTGACTTTTTCTGCTTTTTTCAAGATTGTTTTGGCTGCTCAGAGCTCCTTGTGATTTGGTATAAATTTTAGGATACATTGCTTCTAGGGGGAGAAAAAGCCACTGGGTTTTTGTAGGGCTTACGCTGAAGCTGCGTATTGCTTTGAGTAATATCTTAACACTACTGTCTTCCATGTCATAAACACAGGGTGTCTTTCCATTGACTGGGGTTTCAATTTCTTTCATGGGTGTTTTACAGCGTTCAGTGTACAAGTCTTTAACCTCCTTGACTTTTAAGCTTATTCATATGGGTTGTATTATTTTTGGTGCTATTTTAAATGGAACTCTCATTTTAAATTATTATTTGTGTACAGAAAAACAGACTCCTGTGTTGATTCTGCATCCTGCAACTTTGCTGAGTTATTAGTTCTAACAAGTTTTCTGTGGCATCTTTGGTTCATTGCATATGAGATCCTAATGCCTGTGAGATATCCTTTAAGTTTCCTATTTCAATCACTGCACTTTATTCCTGTAACTCCTGCCAAGGCCTGTCAAATCCACTGGGCTCTTTGGTAGTTTCTTTATTTTTTTATTTTTTGGTGGTACCAGGGATCGAACTCTGCACCTCAGTGCTGACCAAGCAGGCGCTTATGCCTCTGAGCTAAATCCCCAGACTCTTTGCTAGTTTCTTACTTCACGTGTCCAAGCAGCCTTCTCTTCGTGTCCCGTCTGTTTGCTTAATCACGATCCTGCTCTCTTCTGTGACAGTCTAGGTGTCCTGGGAGGAAGACAGTTCCACCAAAGACCTGCAGCTGCTCCTGCAGGCACCCGGCCAGAGGTCTGGGTGGGGGTGCCCCAGGACCACCTGTGGGGAGGAGCTGGGGCCACAGCTCAGAGGGTCAAGATGGGCAGTGGCCAGGCCTGGTGGTATGGTTGAGTGACTTCTACTGGACACCCATCCTGGGGCTTCCATCTCCATCTCTTGTGTGCAGGCCTGAGCCTCTGCTCTCTGCCCCACAGGGAAGCGAACTGGCCCATCTTGTCCCTTTTTCAGTGTCCTGGCCTGAATATTCCTGTCTTCCAGCGCATGGATTTATCGTCTGTACCAACTCACGCAATCTTAGCACTTTCCCTATGCAGACGGTCAAGGTCTTGTTACCTCCCATATGGGTGACTCCAGCGTGTTCTCCATCTCCCGGTTTCCACTTTCAGGTCAGTCTCTCTCAAGTTGTTCTAATCCCTCCAAAGACAAAGCTTCCCTCTTGCCTCCAAAGTATGACCTCATCAGAAAATAACCCATCTTGAAAATGGGAACCAAAACTGCCAGCCTGAGGTAGCCTTCCCTGCCACCACTCTCCTCACTCGGTGGCTTCTGTCAGGGACCCGTAGCAAGCCGTGTGTCTGGAAAGTATTGCTGTCAGGACAGTTTTAAACATTCAGCAGTTGAGTACCCCTGCGTATGAAAGCTGTATTGAGACCAGAGGTGTTCCCTCATTGATCCGACCATGGTGAAACTACGTCAAGTCAGAAAACAAGTGACACAGGTGTTAACCCCGCCTTTAAAACGTGACATGCAGCATGAGGGTGTCCCTAAAGCCAAATATCCTTTCCTCTCCTTTGCAGGCCAACTCCACAGGCCCTGAGCCTGCAAGAGCTAGGCCAGAAGGTGCAGCCAACATGAAGCTGGAGGAGCTCTGAGCACCCAGTGGGGATGGTGCTCCCTCATTCACACGCTCCCCAAACCGCACACAACTCAACTGTAGATTGTGAGATCAGTGAATGACCCTGACGCAGATCGCAAGTGTTTCTAGGAGTTTGTGAACCTAATGTGTGCTCAAAGCGTCATGGAAATAAATGGAGTTTCGGGCACACTGCAGAGGGCAGCTCTGCAGTGAAGACAGGTCCATTGCCATGACGTGACTGACAATACCAGTCATCACTGCACCCGCTCTCGGGTCTGGGCTCTGCTGGGCAGAACCTCAGCACTCCATGAGAAGCAGGCAGGGTATAGCCTACGCCCAGGAACAGCCAAACTTCCCAGGGTGCAGCTGGCAACGATGCCCCACAGGGGAAAGACAGCTGCCACCCAGAAGCCACGCCTTTATAGATTTTTACCAGTCAGTCAACATGTGCAGCACACGAGGACCACACCCACAGCGGGGAGTATAACACAACTCAACTCCTTCATTCCCTGCCCTTCCATCTTTTGGTCCTCTTTCCTTAGCAAAAGATCTTTCTCCCTGTTCTATCACTTTATTTTGCTCTTCATATATACTTTCAGGAGAAAACTCACTAGAAAATATTTGGCCTTGAAATGACTCCAATGTGTGACCCAGTCTATGTAAGTCAAAGCAGAAATACAAAAAAAAAAAAAAAAAAAAACATTCAATACTAACAAACAAGTTTCTCCAAGGGTTAAGATGTGATGTGTATTTTCTAATATCCCATGATAAATAGTTACTATGTATCATAATCATATTTTTTTAAAAGCCAGAAACTACAAAAAAAAAGTTCACTAAATTCTAAGTTCAAAAGTACATTTATTTAAAATGTGGGTAAGATATCAGTATAAAAGAAAAGAGTGTAAGAAATAAAAATAAAGTACAAAACATTTCAAATCTTTAACATCCATAATTTAGATAGCAAGGTCTTTACACATTTTATTTGAAATTTCATAGTGTTGTGAAGACATTTAAAAACCTGGCAAATGAATCATAAAACCTAATGTGTGCTCATAAAGTCATATAATACAAAACATAATTTATGTTTCCTCAGAATAAAATTACACATCTTAATAAGATGCATCATAGGTGCCACTGTCTTCCTGCTTTCTATCTCATCCCTAGGGAAGCAGCTGGAAAACACATGCAGTCGGTCAGAGGTCCTGGCTCGGCTCGGGCTCCAGCTCGGCTCGGGCTCCAGCTCGGCTCGGGCTCCAGCTCGGCTCAGCTCAGCTCAGCTCAGCGCAGCTCGGCTCGGCTCGGCTCAGCTTGGCTGGGCTGGGCTCGGCTCCACTTCAGCTCCAGCTCCGCTTCAGCTCCAGTTCCAGCTCCAGTTCCAGCTCCGGCTCCGGCTCTGGCTCGGCCTTCAGTTGAATTTATACGTGGGCACGCTGAGGAACAACTCTGAATGCCAAGAGCTCCCGTTTTCAGTCCCATTCAGCACAGTACAATTTGCACTTCTTCACCCGTCCACACAGCACATCCAAACCCCAGGGGCTTTAATCCTCAGTACCACAAAAAACTAAAAACAAATCGAATCAACAGAACCCTGCCACACGGACAGGGGCACTCAGGCTCATAAGGGGCCACCATGTGACTCTGACCCTAGCTGAAGCGGAGCCCACAACCAGTCGGGGAGCACTCAGCTCACACAAGCATGCACAAGCCAGACAGATTTGAGTCCCCAGAGCATCAACGCCTTCCAGAGCATCACACCCTCAGACACGCTGCCAGGTCCCTTGCAGGCCTCTAAGACAACACCCACAAATCACACACAGCACACGAAGGAACTCTTGCTCCTGAGGAGCAGAAGAGAGCAGGCTCTCACCAACATAAACCTCAGCAGCGGAGCCATCTGAAAGAGATGAGAAGTCACGTGCGCTGCACGGACCACGATCACAGTATGTCTGCACACCAAACCCTGGACAGTGTCCCCTCTTCAGGACTCAGCAGCCACCTCTCATGGATGCCCAGCACTGCTCAGATCGTGCGGTTGCTTCGTGTAAGTGCCACTCTGGCAGATGCCTGCTGCCCCTTGGACAGCCTTTCCCCTAAAGCGCTCTCCTCCCGAAGGTACCCTGGTTCTGTGCTTAACAGCATAAACTGAAGCCCTCTCATGCTGAGAGCTGTCCGAGGACCCTAAGGCCCCAGTGCCCATGCGGGAGCCGGGGCCAGGGTGGGCACATCATACCTCCTGTCTCAAACAGCTCATGCCAGCACATGGTGAGATCTGGTGACAGCTGAAATGTCTGCAGTGGCTATGCTCAGCGCAGACCCTGACCCTGAGCTCTCTCCCGGGGCTCCCTTGTGGCAGGCACCCCTGCATAGGAAACGGGTTGAGTAGTAGTTTTGCACAAGGATTTGTGAGGCGCATTTTGTTTGTTTTGTGGGCTGCTGGGCATGGATTAAAATAGTGCTCCTGACTTTTAATGAAGATTATCAACAACATAAGAAACCTATTTTTCTTCCAACTGCATGAGATAAAAAGCCTAGAAATATTCAAACATCATTCTAAAGACTTACCCTTGCCTACTACCTACCAGTAAAACTAAGTGATTCCTCACAGTGCTTCTAGTAAGCCATCCATTTCCCCGGCCAAGCGCCAGAGCACAGAGAATTCATGCAAGCTGCATTCCATTTGGAGAATACAAACTCAACATGTACTTGAGTACTGAAAGTACTTAATTTTGCAGTTATTTTCTATTTTATCTCACTGTAAAACACTTAACCACCCACATAAGCAGAAGTACAGTGAGTCAGGACTAAATTGGCCTACTGGTAAAGACAGTGCACACGTGCTGGTGAGGAAGGGCTGCCATTGACATGCACCCCAACACCCAGGGCAGGATGGAGCCACGGCCCCAGCCCAGCCCAGCCCAGCCCAGCCCAGCCCAGCCCAGCCCAGCCGCAGCCCGCTCTGTCAAAGGATATGACTCGTAGTCCATGGTCTGGGTCAGCACTCCGGTTAGCACAAACTCTGCGTTATGAACATCTGAAAGGAACAGGGACTGGGCCCTTAGGAGAAGCGTGCAGGGCAGCACAGAGGGGGGGACAGGGGGGTGGGACAGGGGGCTGGGAGCTGCACCTATTCCTCGGGCGAAGTACTCTCGGCACAGGTGGAGGTCGTTCTCGCAGGATATCACGATGATTTCCGACAGACTCTGAGGAAGACGCACTAGTCAGTGACGACAGGAACCCTCGGGCGCCACAGAGACCGAGACCGGTGCCTGCGCCCTACCCAAGCCCGCACCCGCGTCCCACCTTATTCTGCTTGTGCTCCACCAGCTTGCGGAAGGACGGCTGCTTGGATAGCACCTTCCCACCCGCACACTCCACGATGGCCTTCATGGTGGACAGGCTCGGGCAGATTCCAGGGGTGATGTAGAAGTACTTTGCCTGAAAGTGAAAGGAAAACATAGGCACTGGCCTTCAGATGCTTTCAGCCCTGAGAGTTCTGACAAAACGTCTCATTTCCTGAAAGTATGAAGGCAGCGGTCTCCTATTAGTGTTCCGCCCAGAAAGCTCTAAGGTGGGAAACGTCACCCATGACGTAAGACCTGTGCTAACACACAGGAGCTGGACCTTAGCTTCTCAAAGGAGACAGCGCTCAGCAAACACCTGAGCCTGTTACACACTCTGTCATGACTGGTGCTACCCAACACCTGCCACACTGCTCATGGGCCATGGCCCAAAAAGACGCCGCCTGAGGCCATGAAACCTCCTTTATTAGACTCAAAAGGGAAGTGGTAAGACAGTGCTTAATATCTGGTTCCCAATGAGCTTGCTTCTATGTATGCAGCAAACTATTTTGCTTTAAGCTGCTCACAGAAAAAACCTAAATAAATATTTGAAAAATCAGACTATTTTCGGGAAAATGCATGCTAATTCAATATTCCAAGTCATTTCTGATTCCTAAACTGACTCCTTAGGAGAACTTAAAAGAACAGGTTATTGATTTACTCTGTTCTTTGATATAAAAAGTACTTACCAACTCTTCTAAGTCTCTCATCTAACAAATAATTTTAAAATCTTTAGTTCTGCAATTATGCAAAATTCAATGAACACTTCTCCAATATCTTCTCTAGCTGAAAACACATTTACTGAGAGCAACGTAAGCAATGTCCTCCTAAGATGTGAAACTTCACCAACTACATTATTCAGAGACAGCTCCCAAACAACTTCATATCCTAATGCATCTGCACTCTGGGTGCCAATTCTTAGGCTCGGTAAAGAACAGGCCCCAGAGTGTACAGATTCCCCGGAGTAGCCGCCCTCATGGCCAGGACCAAGGAGGAAGATGCTGTGGACACAGCAGGGTGCTCACCACACCCAGCACCCTCTAATGTGCCCCTGCAGTGCCACCCACACGGACACAGCTTTGCTCTCGGCCTTACCTTGAAGAGTGGAGAAACATGCGCCCGTTTCAAGGATTCTTCCAAACTGAATGAGAAGAGCACTTCGGCCTCAGCATCTCGGAGGATGTAGTTCTGCTCATCTGGAAAACACAGCAGTGTCACCAGAAAAGTACAGGATGAGCTGCCCGATGGGGCCCACCACACTGCAGGCTGCCCACATTCATAAGTGCCCGTTAGCTGTGGCTACCCTGACCTGAGTAAATGCTGGGCATCTGTACCTCACTTTTACCTTTCATTTGCTTCCCCCTGAAAAGGATCAGCCAAAACAGACAGGCAGACAGCTCTTCTCCTAGGTAAGCAGCGACAACCCTCCAGGGCTGGAACAGAAACCGATTGCGACCTAGGAGGCTCTTCCGCTCTTAGCAGCAATCCCATCCCCTTCCAAATGGTATCACAGCTCCTCACTACGGTCCAGGTCAAGATGCCAGGCCTGAGTGGCCAGCGACACGCTGTCATCACATCTGCTGCCACCACACCGACCAACTCCCCAGTGCCAATCAGGCAAATTTACCCAACTTTCCTAGTTATCAAACACCCGCTCCTTTGAAATGGACAAAAACTTGCACCACTCAATGCCCAGCACAGAAAGCCAAATGTCCACCAGTCTGAAGACTTCTGAGGATTCTCAACGAACTGGTTTCAGTCTCCATGGCAAGATTTTAAGGAATGTCCACGGGCCAGAAGTTACAAATATGGGTCCAGTCGTGCTGCACTGGTGTGTGATCATGTCTGTGTGACAGATGGCTCCACCTGCCTGCACAGCCCCCAAGGCCCTCACGGCAGGGGCAGTTGGGTCGCTAGAGGACACAGATTTAAGGATCTGTGGGCCTCAACAATTTCTGCCACACATTCTTCTCTTAAGAAACGTAAAACCAGCCCACAGCTTGGGGACCGCTAGGCATGCACAGCAGTCCACTCACAAAGGAAATTCGACCCTGGTTCCCCACCAGGAGCACGGAGACACGGCTGTCTCCGCACTCACTAGTCCTCCTACTGTCTATGTGGCGCTGTAACCTCTCAGTGCCCGTGGCCACGTGTGGCCACCTGGACCCGAAGATTGAGGAGGCTGGCTTCCTCAGGTTCACACCTGCAGTCCCTCCCTGCTCCCACTCCCACGTGCCTGGCTGTCCCCTCAGCAGTCTGCTCGGTGACACTCAGACCCTGCTCTGTCTGTGCCGCCAGCCAGGAGCACGGAGGTGAGCAAACACTGGCATCACTCAACAAGGGGGATGAGGCCCTGCACTGCTCAGATGCAGGCCCTGGGTGGGGCGCAGTCCCCGTCTCTACCAGGCAGAGGCCCATGACCTGCTGGCCACTGAACTGTCTCCCAGGCTCTGCTGTCTCACACACACAGCCCCAAGTCTTAGTCTGCTTCTGCCTCTCCCGCACACAGCAGTCTCAGCCGTGTTCAGCTGAGGCTTACTTCTCTGTGCCATCAGCCTATCTTGAGCAGAAAATGACATGTCCGAAAAAGCCTCATGTAACAGGACTGACTAACCACCTGTCTGCAGCCTTACTGCTGTGTGTGTGTGTGTGTGTGTGTGTGTGTGTGTGCACTGTGAGAACACAACAGCCAGGTGCACCACTGCCAGGACACCGCAAGCATGTGCAACGCTGTGGTAGAGGCTGGCGAGCCACAGCCTGCCTACAGCACAGGTGGCAGAAAGTTCCACTTGGTAGCAGTGCGGCTAGGGCACAAGACCAAACCCGCAACTGCAAACACAGGGACACAGGTCTCAGCCCACACCAAGAGGGGCCAGCGGAGACCCAGCCACAGGCTTGACGACGAAGCAGCAGGCTTACCCCGACACAGCGTGTTCACCGCCAGCACACACAGCTCTGCACATGCCATTCACACCAACAGGCCAGGACTTCTGGGCGGACTGCTCCATTCCAACACAGATACAAACCACGCTCCCCACTGTGCAAGCCAGATTCCCCAACAAAAACTAACAAGGAGGGATGGAGAACTTTCTTCCCCAATATCACTCAAACTACCCAAACCTTCCTATTTCATGGTAAGACAGGAAATCCCTGAACATGAAGTAAGTTTAGCAACACAAGTGAAGAGCTACGAAGCAGGGTTCAGATCCCAGGATGCACTGGGGTGAAAATGCGGACCGGCCCTGGTGCCGTGCTCTCACCCACAAACTCCTGGCACTTGAAGCACTCCTCCAGCCACTCGGGCGTCACGATGTGCTGCACCACAGAGATGGCCGTCAGGAACTTCACGGTGCGCGTCACTCTGCTGGCGACCAGGTGGGTGCACTTCTGCGCAGACTCGGCCACCTCACCGCCCAGGACGTAGAGCTTCTGCACACACGGGGAGGAAAGGGCGGGTCAGCAGGGCGCCACACGGCAGCCAGACAAAGGACCTAGCCATCTCCTAGTGTGGGCAGAAGTCAGGGGAAGGCTGCCCCTGGGCCACTACACACAAAACAGGACCCAGACAGGAACCTCCAAGTGTGGGGGACACAACTGACAGAGCCAGGTCACCAGGCTGACCTGGCGTACGACTTCTGTTTTTAAAAAGAACAGCATGGAAAAGACTGTTCCATGGGCACATAAGACCTCTAACAGCTACACTCACAGGTAAAGCAGTAGAAAACTGTACTACATTTGCAACAGCAACATTTTAACTGTTTCTTCTCTGTACCCAGAGTACACTGCACAAATCCAGTCTATTACAGGTGTCTCAAGTCTCTACCTCTCCACTACCAAAACAAAACACCCATGACCAAATAAAGCCCCAAGATCCCTTGTGCTATTATTTCAGAAAATGTGTTTACAACTCTGCTCCCACTTGTCATTTCAAAGACTGTGCCCCTCAGAGCGCAGGTCCAGCCAGCTGTGTTCTACCCAGGGATAGAAGCTCCCAGTCCTGGGACACCCCGGGATGGGACCTGGCTCTCACTGGCACCTCTGAGTCACATGTTTATGCTAACGAGAAACCAAGTGTGAGCAGCAGCAGTACAAACGCAGGGGAAGTCATCTGACGGCTGCTAACACCCTGGACAACACCTATAAATACTCTGCAGATTCACACCCTAAGGCGACTGCAAGAAGACATTCCTGGTTAAGCACACATGCACTAAGCAACTAGCCTGGAGTGTACAGGCACAGAAAGGAACACAGCGAAGCATGCCCTGTGTGGATGCAAACTTTACCTTAATGTACTGCTGAACTTGGCCAGGCTCAAACCCAGTGAAAAGCACTAAAGGCGTCAGCTCCGGGGTCAACTTTTTGGTGGGAGTGGGGAGATCCTCAATTCTGTAAACAAACATAGAACAGTGACCACCATGCCACTTTCTTCAACTGTTCTTCAGTGACACAGAACTCAGTCTCCTCTCCCTTCTCCATCCCGCCTCCACCTGATTTTGGTCCTAACTGCACTTTAACAAAGGAGGGAAAGACTCCAGCTGGTTTTCTGCCTCACCAATTTTGATGGCCTGACTCCCTCTTTGCATACTGGGAACTGAACTTGGGGCCTCCACGTCAAGCCACACACTGGCCCTTCTTAGCTTCTGAGACAGGGTCCTGCTGGGCTGCTCAACCAGTCTGGGCCCAAGTTGTCAGTAGTCCTGTCCCAGACTCCCGAGTGGCTGGGATCACAGATCCGCTCCTCCATACCCTGCCACTCTTCATTTGTAAGTTTATAAGGTAACCTTGCGTGACTCAGCCACAGCTCCTCACTGGGACAGTCACACCGACTCGAGGACCCAGGAGGGTACAGACCTTGCCCCTGCCGCCCTCTTCATTCTCACCTCCTCCTAGGGGACTGCCAAGCTATTTCACTGAAAACTACAGGCTATGGAATCAGACCTTTCTGTCTTTTTCAGGCTGAATGCTTCAATTTAAAAATCTATTATAAGTAAGAGACACACTGCAACGAACCCCCTTGCTTCAAACACATGTAACCCATCATTCCTGCCACTGTCTACAGCACTTCTGGAGTCCTTCTTCCTGAGTCTTTACAAGGTCAGATCAAGCACCAGACAACAGAAAGAACACACAAGAACACAATGCTGTGCTTTCATCATTTCATCCACCAGACCTGGTGCCGCGCACTTCTGGCTCTTCCCCAAGTCAAAATGATCATGGAAGGTAAACACCTTGCTTTGATTCAGGTTACTGAGGCAGCCAGGACAGCACAACGAAAGACACTCGGGAAAGAGGACTCCAGAATGCTCTATAAAGTGGCCAGAACAACGGGATGAGTGTATGTGAAGTGAAGGGGGACTGGGATTCTGAGGGGGGTTAATGCCAATGCTTTTTATTATTCTAAATTTTCAAAATTTAAATCTCTGAGCCAGGCGTGGTGGCATACACCTGTCATCCCAGCACTTGGGAGGCTGAGGCAGGAAGACTGCTGCAAGTTTACGGGCAGCTTGGGCACCATAGTGAGTTCAAGGCCAGCCTGAACTACATAGCAAGACCCTGTCTCAAAAAAATCAAATAAATAAATGAGTAATATACTTTTCTATCACACCTTGTACATTTATTTACTTGATATTTTAAAAATCTTACTCTTTAATCAAATGCTGTAAGGAAAATTTATAGTTTATCTGCAGCCATCAGATCACAGCCTTAAAAATAGAAACCCAGCCAGGTGTGGGGACCCACGCCTGTAATCACAGTGCTCTGGGAAGCTGGAAGAGGGAAATAACAAATTCCAATCCCACAAAAGCAACCTACTGAGATCGTCCAAAGAGACTAATAAAATCGGCTGGAGGTGCGGCCAGCACAAGGCTGGGAGTGCAGTCCCCATGACATCCACATGACAGCCACTACTCCGCAGTTAGGGTTTCTGCAGTATACGTCCCGGCCGTGCAGGTAAGGGCAGGAGGGAGGAAACACATACTGCAAAGGCAGCCCCGAGCTCCACTTCACCAGGCACAGCATGGAAACAGTTTTCTAGAACCAGAGCAATCCCAGGTCCTGGCCTTATATGCTGTAGTAAGCACAGAGTACAGCATTCTGTGTTGACTCTGCAGTGGCGACCATGAGGCCAGGAGATGTGCAAATGCCCTGTCTCACAGGGCCGGCGCAACAGGCAGGAAGCATGGCGCCCACGTTGCTCCACAGGGGCCTGAAGGGCCACACAGGGTTCCAGTAGCCCAGGGTCACATGCAGCAGCACCGCAGAGGCAGGCACGGGCTGTGCCTAGGCCCCTCATGCTACAGGAGCTCCTGCTTCACTGGTGGCGGTCCCAGTACAGCCATGACTAAAGAAAAGCACTATTTTCATTTTCTTAATTAAAAGTAAGAGACATCTGCTGGCCCTGTCTTCATTTGCTGCCTGTCTCCAGTAATGAGACAGACCACAGTAATAGGAAGCAAACACCAGGCCTTTCAAGCCTTACCTACTACAAAAACCCGTAAGCAACTTTGTCCAACTGCTACCAGTCCTCTAAGACAGAGCTGCAAAGGTGGCCGGCCACAAGGCAGGGCAGTTGCTGTACCTACCTGGCTCTTTTGGAAGAAGGCTGGACGCTGGTTACTTCATTCTGTTTCGGCTTGGGAGGCAACCTTACACCCTGCAATGAAAGCATTGTCCCCGTCAGCCACACCAGGCCTCCCTGTAATGTACCAGCCTCCAGGAAGCTTATCTGCAAACGAGCGACCAGTTACGTCTGCAGGGACCATGTGCTCAGCCCTTGGAACTGCTAACCAGAGGACAGCTGGGCACCATGGCCAGGAGCACAGGGCCACACATGGGGCTCTGTGCAGCTTTGCCTCCCCTCTCCGTCCACAAACCTTCCTGGTTCCTGTGTCCTTGTCCATCCTTTCGTGTTGCACATTACATTATTGTCCTCAGCCTGAAACTTTTTTGAACCATTTTTAAGTGCTTTGCTCTATGCCCCAACTTACAATGTGAAAAGTATGATAACTACAAAAAATTCCTAAAAAATCACCGCTCCAAGAACAGAAACGGCACTCGAGCTGTCATGAAAGATTCTACATGATGATCAGATCAACAGTCCTCCAAAGGAGGCCGAGCCGTGGCACTCACGCTCTGCCCGCGGACAGTGCCCAAGGGGACTGTCCAGAGCTAGGAGGACAGCAGAAGGGACATGGCCGTAAGGGCCCCGCTCGCTGCCAGCGCTTCCACGCTGCCCTTGCTCACTCCTTCCTCAGGGTGCTTCCAAAATGATACTTGGTCTGCCCAGGATTGCCTGTCTGAACTACGCATGCTTTCCTCAACGTCCTTGTCAGGTTATTTACCTAAGCAGTACACATTGTGCTTTCTAACTATCGCTGCCATCTCTGCATTACCAAAGCAAACGGATGCAAAGCCCTCAGGAGCACTGTCCCTGAACCCTGTTTCAGACCACAAGTCTGCCTCTGAATCTCAACCCTCCTTGGCAGAATGGGAGAAAGGTAAAATGGGCCTTGGCAGCTCTGCTACTTTCAGCTTTTAATACACAACCACCAGAGAACTTCAACGTGGAGCCCTGATAATTTTAGAATACCCACATGTGGCATGGGGGAAAACCGATGACCACTTTTCCAGCTTGATTTTCAAAGTTATTCTACAATTCCTCTTATCTACATGAACCAGGAGAACATGTGCTTCTGTTGATGTGCCAGAGTTAGTCAGTCATGTTCTGCTAAAATTATAAACTGGGCAGTTTAAACCAGAAGAAAATACAGACATCATCACATCACTAGCATTAAGAAACCAGCAGCCAAGTGACAGGCTTCCTAAAGATATGGAAGAGTAAGTCACGTGTGTGTGTGTGTGTGTGTGTGTGTGTGTGTGTGTGTATACTATCCTATGTATATGTCACACCATGACTGACCAAAAATAAAAACACTGCTGTTGGTAACCAAGAATTACTACAGGAAAACAGAACAATGTTCTACTCCTCACACTAAGAGCCGGGCACGTAGCAGTCTCCTACAAGACACCTCGCGTGAGCACCTCATGGCACTCAGATTCCATGCACGTGGCAAGAAGGGTCCCATCAGAGCCCAGGACTAGAGGGCATGGGCCTGGAACCGGGCAGCAGAGGAAGACGTCACCCCTGAGGAGGAGGAGGTTTGGATCCCTGGAACAGTTTACTGTGGCCTCATCTAGGAGCACTCAAAATGCTCTCAACCCAGACAGATGTGAGTGACAGACCATCAACACTAATAATGAGGAAAAAAAAAGACCTAAGGCACACAGGCATTTTATGACAATAAAGATAGTAAGATACAGTCTTCATTTGTCAGCAACACAATTTTATCTTATCAACAATAAGACAATTTTAATTTCCAAATTTCCAAACATATCCCTGCTGCATTTGAACAGCATGGTAACAGCCAAAGGGAGCTAAGTGATATGACGTACCATCAGCAGCTCTGGTGACACTTTCAGTGGAACTCTCCACGCGTCTAAAGAGAGAAACAAGTTATTTTTCACAACACACTGCTTTTAGACACAAGAAGCTTCTTCTACAAGCCTTTCCTTGGGGTGGTGACCCCAACACACAGGTGGCTTTTCACAAAACACTGAACAGGGCTATGTGTAAACTCCCAGGGGATGAGGCACAAGAGGGAGTCACAGGTGCTCATCAACATGAGGTGGCACTCAGCAGGCCGCAGCACGCACTGCAACACGCCAGGTCTCACAGCACACTCCAGCGCCAGGCACCACTGGCTGGCCTGCCACGCACCAACTAGGATCTGAGGAGGTGACAGGAAGGACTACACCATGCAGATGGAGGCTGTCCAGGCACTGCCATGCTTTACCCAGGGGAGGAGCAGCCCAACACCAGGGCAGGTGCAGAGTGGACATCTCTCACAGGCTGGCCCTCTACAAATGCTTCAGAGCGGGTCAGCCCAGGGAGGGGCTGGGACACAGATCAAGACTCAAAAGGAGAAAGGCTTTCCCCACAATTAAAGACAGCCCAGAGCAGAGTGGGCTCCCTCAAGAGAACACCAGAGCCCGCCCTGAACGGTCAATTAATGTCTAGCTCCAAATAAGCAACACAGAAGTGCAGTGCTGCCATGTTCCTCAGGGAGGGTCCCCCTGGGGAAACTGGGTGATAGCAAAGGGCTGACCACAGGAGCACAGAGACACCAAGGATGCAACAGCAAAGCCTGCAGTGACAGGGAAGACACTGATCCCTAGGAAGCAGGCGACGTTCCGCAGGGCTGGGCCACTACCACAAGGCACCTGGCCCAAGGGACCAATTCAGGCTTCCTCACACTACTGCCTAGTGCCGAGAGCCTCCTGTGAGTGCTCAAGGGCCCAGGGTGCAGGAAGGCAGCAGGATATGTCAAAAGCGGCTAAAACAGCAGAGCCAGGCCAGTGACAGCAGGGAGCTGCGCACCCCCACAGCAGGCGCTGCCCCTACCCAGCAGGTTCAGCACCAAGTGCTGCGTGGGCGCGAAGGGGTCCTGGAGGTTGAAGGCCGTGTAGCGCCCATACTGGATCTGTCTCAGCGCCTCGAAATTCCCCAGCAGGATGTCCCCGAGCCACTGTGCGTTCACGCATGGGATCCGCCACTCTTTGGCCTTCTCATACTTCAAACCACTGGGTCTGTTTTTGAGGAGAAATCACAGTTACCAGATGTTGGATTGTTGGCTGTCTAGATTCGCATTTATCTGCAATCAAAGCCAATGAAAACACCTCTCATGACAGAAGTGGCAGGCATATCTCAGTAAAGCTGTGGTGACCCGGGCCAGAGGTAGAGCTGTGCTGGGGCTCGGACTGCCCTCACCTTGGGGGCAGACCCCATTCATCCAAGCTCCACTCAGTCACCCACAGCAACAGCCCAGACATTGCATCCGTGTCCCTGTTAATGCCGCCAGCCACGAGCGTCACACCCACTCTTACAATTGACTCCTCCTTGGGATGTCTGCCAGGAAACTATGAAGTCTTAACAAATAGGAGGTGGGAAGGCCACGGTGTGGGCTTACTCTTTACAAACAAGGACTGTGTTACTGCGGCACAGGTAGCCCGTGTACTTGGCGCCTGCCAGGTATGCCATCAACTTCAGGTCATCCCTGTCGCTGTCTACAAAGCCAGTCACAGAGATGATCTGTAGACAGACAAGAGCAAAGGCAGCTTTTAGAATACAGAGCATTGGTTCAGCTTTGCAGCTGTTTTAATATTTTTTCTCACTATTTCCTTGGCACTGCAGGAAACACGCTATCATTCCTAAGAATGGCAAGACTAGAATTTTACTAATGGCTACCACGTTATACACACAACCCTCAGAAGGAAGAAGACAACTAAATGTAAGACATTAAGTAGCAGAAAACCTCTTTGGGGTTCCTATGACATTGCTCAGATGCATACGTAAGGGAAAAATCAGCTTTTTATGTTCTGCACTAATCCTGATTTTGAGATCATTAGTCATTAGGTGAGAGAACCCACAACTACTGATAAAATTCTACCCAATACTGGCTGCTTCTGCAGCAGGATATCTGGTTGATTTTAGAATTTTAAATATAGTCCAAGGCTTTGGGGAATCATTAACACCAGCATGTGCAGAGAACCGTGCCTGCAATGGGGCCTAAGAGGAAACAGGCTACGCTCGCGGCAGGCTGGGCAAAATGACATGAAAAACTTCCCAGAGCAAGCAGCGAGAGGCCAAGCGATACATCGCAGGCCCCCCAACGAACACAACCAAACACCACACAGCCCTGCCTTACATGCTGTGAGCACGGCTTGCCCCCTGGCGGGAACGCCACTGGGAAATGCAGGGCTCGGTGGGGCGGCACCATCTTCTTCTTCTTCAGGACCATGTTCAGCCAGTGTGCAGTGACACATCGCTTTCTCTCTCTTATCGCCTGTCAAACAAGATTACAGGTTTGCTGCTCTGGATGTTTGGCTGCGGTGCTAAATGCAAAACGGTAAGGTTCTGTGACTACAATGCCACCTTCTCAAAAGCCCACAAATTAAAACAATGTCAAGACACTGAACACATAATTTATTAAAGTAACCCACTATGGTAATATAGCTGGTAACACCAATCCAACCAGAAAATGTTATTATCCATGAACAAGAGCCTGCAGTGGGGGATAGAAGCAACAAATTGTGCAACCACCACAAAAACAACCCGGAATGAAGTGAAGGCTGATGATCCTTGAATTAAAATCCCTGCAGAATACAGAGCAAGGGAATAAAACGCAACCGTACACCTACAGTTAACCAAGCAAGAAAGCTTACAATTTCTCACTTTTTAAATGCTAAGTAGGCATGGTAAACGGCTACCTTTGTAAGATGGCTTTTTCTTTATGTTGCTTTTCTTTGCTGCAGGCTGGTGACTGAACCAAGGTCTGCACATGCAGGTAAGAGCTCTACCACCCAGCTACCCTCACCCAAGGGGAGTATGTTAAGGACCATTTGTTACAAACACACTGACACCACCCCATTTACAGGGAAGACCATTTTTACGAGAAGAGAAGCAAGACTTTAAGAGTAAAAGGAGCTGACCTAGGGAGAAAGCTTCTGTTCAGAGGCATAGAGAAACTCTGTGGCCACAGGGCAGGAATTAACTTTGGCATCCATAACATTCTGTGCCAATGACCCCAAGGATGCCTACCCTTTCTCCACAGCCACCTGGGACTTCCCTTTCCTTCTCCAGTGCCCAAAGACAAATGGTACCCACAAAAGTGCCCAGTTCGCCAAACATGATGAAAGAACCAAGCAAAAAAAGTTCTTTACAAAATACCAGCCGCTGACCAAGAAGCCACCTGTCAGCACACAAGGCAACCTTGTCCGGCGCTGCGGAGCCACTCCTTACCTGTGCATACATGCTGCTGACCTGGCTCTCGCAGAGGAGGTGCGTGCACCGGCTCGTGAAGGTGGGGTCCACCACGCCACCATGTGCTTGGATGATCTGCACGGAAGACATAGCCAGAGCGAATCAGCCCCGTGCCTCAGCATGACTGTGGATGAAACAGGCAGCTGGGCCAAGGACCCATCGCCACTACCACACCTTAGGAAACATGCGGCAACACTGTTTGGACTTTCCACTCAGCACCAGGAAACACAAATGACCCCAACACACATTTCACCTCGTGTCCGGGGAGAAAGAAGGACAAATGAAACGTGGCCCTTCTCACAAGGGGCCTCTCCGTCCTGACCAGAGCAGTGTATGGTGAGGCTGCCCGGGGCAGCACAGCATCTGTGCCTGACCCAGGAGCCTCTCACCAAGAAGATCCTCCCGACCTGAGTAGTGCACACATCTCCAGATGCCTTAAGTGCCCCAGGCAGACTCCACCCCTCAAGAGCCACTACCAGAAAGGAAAGGAAAGGGAAAAGAGAAACTCAGGAGGGGATAAAGGAATGAATCCCAAAACGTAATTTTAACAGCAGCTGCTTTCTGGGGGAAGGAGCAGTCCTACACTCTGTACTGATTACAGGGTACCAGGCACCCGTCATACCTCTAAGCACTGCACACCCAGGGAGGGGAACACAAGTACGGCATGGAACACATGATCAGAAGCAGCCTGACCACTCCCACGCCCACTGCTTGGAAGTTCAGTGCTGCATGGTCCCTCTAACTGTGATATGTGAGGCAGGTGACAACAGCCTGACGCCACATCCCGCCAAAAGCTGTCACTGCTGAGTGACCCATCGGACTGCCTCAGGTGCGGTTAGCTCCTGTCCCCCCTGTGGCAGCACGTGTACCCCACCCCATCAGCACCGCGACTCCGGCTCCTTTCCAACTCCTGCTGCTTCCCGGGGGTCTGCAGTGGCTGCACTGCTCTACCTGCCACTTCCTTCTTCTTTTCCTTTTCCCGATGTCCCACAAACTGCTCGCTACCTCTCCCCAAGAGCCAAGACACTCCCCCAGGCCTGAGCGTGGCTTCTCGCCACCAGCTACAAGGGAGACTGGCTCTGCTCATGCAGAGTGGGGTGTGTGCTCTGGGGCAGACATCTGTGCCTTGCTGTGGCCACCCCAGCACATAGTCAGCGCGGGCTGAGGCCTAGGAGCAGCTCCTGCAGCCACAGGGGACAGGAGAGCCATGGCCACCCTATACTACCGCAGGATTTCCCATCTGTGGGACAGTGAATGCTGTGTCAAGCACAAAGCTTGAGAGTGATTTGTTACATAGCACCAGAAAACTAAGGCAGTGCTGATTCTCCCCTAACTCACTGTCTCACTGCAAAGCACTCCTGTGCTCTGCTGTCCTGAGCCTGGTCCCTCTCTAGTCCTACTTCTATGCCAGGTATTCCCTTTGCTCTCCCCCGGAAGCTCCCATTTCTCATTTCCGTTGCCCCACTGCCTCGCTGACCTGCTGTGTGAGAGGCTGGTGCTCTGAACACACTTCTAGTCCACTGTGCCATGAGTGCTGGGCTGGCTGTTACTCTAGGCTGGAAGCCTGTCTCTCAGCTGGGCAGCTCCACGGAGACACCAGACCCTGTGCTAGTCCTCCCTGGGAACAATCCCCCACTGACCCTCAAACAGCCCCCCCCCACAGCGTTCTGCACCTTCATCCTCACCCTAACCCCCTCGAAGTGCACCCTGTTCCCCAATGGTGCTCTGGCTGGGCCATCAGCACATCTCGGCTAGGAAGGCAGAGATACCCGGATGTCACAGAGCTGGTGACTCTGCACAACATGGGGAGCTGACAACTCTTACCCCTCCCCATAACATTCCTGAAGGGGAAAACACAGGCTACACAGCACGGCATACAGATGAAGCTCCCAATCATACTGGCCCCGTCCCTTGCCCTCCCTGCTCATCGACCTTATGTAGCTGCTTTCTGCCAGGCTCTGCTCATCCATCTGGGAAGGCACCAGCCTCTGCCTGCTACTCTCTCTCTCTGTACAATCCTCCCCCAGGTGTTTACCCCTGTTTAGCATTTAAAATTCAGCCCAGAATTATCTTCCCAGGATTCATAATGCAACTCCCAACTGGCAGGAGAATGTCCTTCCCTGGGCTCCCCCGGTATCTGTGCCATTTCTGTCCCAGCCCCAGAGCCCTGCTCCTCATGTCCCAGGGTCATTCTGTCTGTCATCCAACACCCCAGCTCCTGGAGCATGCTCGGAACACAGTAAGGGTTACAGTTCTTTTAATTTTTCAGAAGGGGTCTTGCCATGTAGTCCAGGCTGGTCTCAGACTAGGAAGCCCAAGCTGGCCTTGAACTTGTAGCAATCCTCCTGCCTCAGCCTTCTGAGTGCTAGGATTACAGGCATGTGCTATCATGGCCAGCAATACTAGGGGTTTAAATGCCAGGAATATCTATAGTAAAGCATTTCAAGATGTGTTTGAATTCTACTCAGGTCATTTCAAAACATTGCTGGATTGTTTACCTGTGGCATGGCAAGAAAAGTGCTTGCTTTTTCTTTTCTCTAAAAGCCACCAGGCAAAATGAAAAGGAAGTGGACCACTATTCCACAATGAGAAGGGTTCCAGGTCCCTGCTACCTATAGCACTAGCACTCTAGCGTGCACCTTTGAAGAGCAGAATGACTCAGACACACACAAGTTGCCAGTCCATGTCCCAGGTCACTAGGCACCTGGTTTTACCTGATACTCCTACTATCTAGGAGCAAGGACCTCAAAGATGATAAATTTTCATCTAAAGGCAAGAAAGGTGACACCCAGAACTCCCCAAAGCCAAAGTGCTCACAGCAAGGATGCCCGTCGCGTGCTTGGAACCCACAGATGAGCCCCAGGAAATGAAGCTAGAGGAGTAGGCAGTCCTGGCTCAGAAAAGCTCGTCTTCCAGCACAAGGTCCAACCTTCCAGGAAGCTCACCTTCTTCCAGGTGGCCAGCAGCTGCTTGTCGGACATCTGCTCTGGGTAATCTGCAATCGCGAACACACAGCCCAGCAGGAAGCCTTCTTCTGGAACTAGGGGAGAGGAAGGTCAGGACTTGATGAACGCGCAGGCACAATGCAAGCACAGCTGTGTGTTCAGCCTGTACTAAGTCAGTTGTAACCTGAGGCTGCCAGCAATGTGTGCACACTTAGAACACAGCTGTAACACACAGATTTCATTGTCTATGTAAAGCATGAAAAAAGTAATCCAAAAGAATTTATGCCTGGATGCTAAATGCCCTAGGTACTAGAGACGACTGAGGCGTCTGTCCTCTGTCAGCAGGTAATACCCCACAACAGGAAAAAGAGCACAGTGACCCACAGCTGCTCTGCCGGATGTGAGACCCAAGCTCCCTGCTCCATGACAATTACCGGTGTGAACCCACCAAACACCTTACCCACCAGAAGCACTCACACAGGCACCAGACCTAAAGAAACCCACTACTCACTCTCCACAGCTGGGTCATGTCCACACAGCGGCAGCTGTGGCGGGGGCTGCTGAGGCGGGGGCTGCAGGTGTGGGGCCTGGTGCTGCATGGCTGGGGGTGCCTGGCCCAGGTGCGGAGCGGCGGGATGCTGCACCTGCTGCTGCTGGTGGAGGCGCTGTAGCTGCTGCTGCTGCACCTGCTGCTGCTGCATCTGCTGCTGGAGCAGGCTCTGGTGCTGCAGCTGCGCCAGCTGTTGGTGTTGCAGCTGCTGCTGCTGCAGCTGGTGGAACTGCTGCTGCAGGTGCTGCTGCTGGAACGGCTGCAAGGGCTGCTGGGGGCGGTGCAACTGCGGCTGGGGGTGCAGCTGCTGCTGGGGGAACGGGTGCTGAAGGACTTGCTGCTGGGGCTGCTGAGGCTGCTGTGGAAACGGATGCTGCTGCTGTGGACAAGGCTGCTGGGGCATCTGTGGGGGCTGCAGGTGGAGGACAGGGTGCTGCAATGGGTGCTGCGGTGGGGGCTGGCGGTGCGGTGGGGGCAGATGTGTATCAGGAGTGCCCCTGGTCTGGCTGAGCAGGATGGCACCGGCGCTGGCACTGCCTTGCCCCTGCTGGCCATGGCCTACCTGCGGCTCCAGGGTCTTTGTGGGAGCTGATAGGGACTGTAGGATCTAAAAAACAAGAGCAAGGATGGCCCTTATCCATGGTCCCACAGCAGGAGAGTGAGCAAGAGCACATGTTCTCATGTTCTTTCAGAAGCGTCAGGTGACAGCAAACTGCGAAGTCACACCGCAGCTTCTGCACGCTTCCTTCTCCACAGCCAACACTGCAAGTCCATAAGCTCCTCTTCTGCGAATATCACAATTCAAACTACGTGTATAACATGGGAGAAACTAATGGATTAAAGGGGCAAATGTGAAGACTTGTAGTTCAGTGTCTCAAGTACAAGCTACCCGACCTGGCTGGACTCCTGGTCAGTACCTGTAGGCCCACCATCCTCTCCTCCACCACCCAAGCCTCCTTCGGACCAGGAGGTGCCCACGGAATGACAGGGTGGAGGCGCCCAGCAGCCAGACTCAAACCTACCCTCACCTCCTCTCTCAGCTGCCACCCCACCCTCTCCTGCTGTGTGACCAAGCAAGGGTTCAATTTCCAAAGAGGAACACCTCACACTGAACCCCAGCATACCCACCACGCAGCCACCCCACCAGGCCAAGGCCTCCCCTGCTGCACATCCTCTGCACACAATAACATGACACAGGACACAACCATATATCTGATGCCTGGCAAGGGTCCCCAAGAGACCATCATTACAGGTGCTAAATAGGCTTCTCAAAGACCATGGGCTCCTAGATGGACATGACCCTCTCAAGCTGGACAGTGAGCCAGCCCAATTCCCTTTCAGTTCTCTGTGCTTTGCAGGACAGGGCTGAGTGAAGGGCACTCTGCTAAGGTGGAAGGAAAGGGACAGTGACCAGGGTCACCCAGCAAGCTGAGCACCACACTGCAAAGTACTTTTCTACAAGGTACGAAATCAAACAAACATGCAGCACAATGCACTTCATGAATACTGTGTCTTCCCAAGGCTTAAACGTATTTCATAAAGCAAAGGGGGAAACTAGTCATGCAGCCTTTAGTGCACCACCAAGTCCAAGGGGAGCCTACAGGAGACACCTATCTGCCTAGGGGCGCACATCCGGCCAGCAGCAAGCCTGAACGCAACCCTGAGCATCACAAGGTTGCCTCCTGGGGAGAACACGGGAGCTATGGGTTTGGTCCCCTCTCCCTTTTTGTTCTAAAGGCACATTTTCCCACCCTTAGAAGTAAGTGCCCAAGGAAACCAAATGAGTCCTGAGGCAAAAAACAACCAGTCTATGCCATGCACCACCTACCCCAGAGTAAGGGGGCCAGAGGGACACCCCTACAGACCCAAGAGCAGATTCTAGGACAGGGTCTCAGAGGAATGCCTGCAGGAGAGGCAGCCATGCACATGGCAGGGTAGCTGTCAACAAGGGGAGGTCACAATCTAAGAGGGAAAGGAGGGCAAGGCATGAGAGAAGACAGCACCGAGCCGTTTGCCTCGGGCTTGAGAAGCAAAGGTGAAGAGAGCTCAGCCCATTCCAGGACAAGTACCTGACCAGACAGAAAGAGGCCACCGCCTGGGTACTCTCCCTAGCTTGGCAGGCCAGGGCTGGGGTAGGACAGCCAGAGGACCAGGTGCCATCAAGACATGCACTCAACACCTATGTGCTCGTCAGATCCCTGTTCCGCCAGCCACAGGGGAAAATGTGCCCCTCTAAGGAATGGAAGAAAAGCAGGCACCCTAATAACTCTGTAACTTGCAGCGCTGCAGGTCATTACGGATGAATGGAGGGCGGAGCCTTCCGACGTCACTATCACAGCCCTTCCTTAACTCTGTCACCTGACGCACACTGCCATAGGAAGCACTGCAGTGCGGGCCCATGACCCCTCTCACCAAGACTCCAAGCTCATATCTTACAGCTGTCCTCATGGTTCCCCTCATCCACTGGAAGCTGGTGGAGGGTTCTACAGTGGCCACCAGTGACTGGTCCTCCATTATAGGCCAGCATGCAGCAGAGGCCACGTCACCTCCCAAGGACAACTGTAGCCAGCAATGTGCCCTGCTGCTTATGTGGCTAGCCACGTACTACCATTCCCAACCACTTGGCTATCAATCCCCCTGCTGGTGGGAGGACCACTCTGGGGTCAGGAGTTTCACAGCCTTCCTGCCCACCAATTCTTTACACTGTACACTGCACCCCCATTTCTCTGTGGCTCTCGGCAGCCTGCTGTCCTGCTGTGCATGGACTGGGTGGACATACCTACACCCCTGACCCTTCTATGAGCAACAGCAGGGCTCACAAACACCTGTGTGGACAAGACCTTGTCCACTCTATTACCAGTCACACCAGTGGTCAGCTGCAAATTTACTCACCTCCAGGGCAGGGATACAATGTAAAGAGGGAGAGGATCAAGGAAGCCCAAAGCCCAGCCTGGCAGCCCATTTCTAAGGGGCAAGTGCCACAGAAGATGCTGGGAGGAATCTCACAAACACTGCTGAGTGACTTGATCTGAACAAGCAGAAACAGTAAAATGAACCATCCTAAAAGAGCTGTGAAGTTCAGTTCTTAAAATCCAATTTTAAAATCTGTTTGCCAAGGCCAGGGATACAGCTCAGGGGCATAAGCACCTGCCTAGCAAGTGCCAGGCTCTGGGTCCAACTCCCAGTACAAACAAAGCTTCCTTACTAGAGTAACTTACATGTGCAACATTTGATGGCCGATTGAGCTGCTGAATGTCAGCATTGTTAGTAATATTCCTCAACGTCCGCACAGCCGGACTCCATGAGGTGATCATTTCTCCTCTTTCAGAACTCTGAAGGTTCTGTCCAGAAGCCATGAAGTTCCCCCGGACATCCGGAGGCAGGATGTTCCCAGGAACTGGTGGGACATTGGCACACAAGTTAATGAGCCCGGCCTCCTTGCCCTGGGGCAGCCTGCGCTTGGCGGCCACAGGCTGGGGCACTTCAGCCGGGGTCCAGTTCAAGTTCCTCTCCTGCTTCTCGGGTGAAGAGTCTGAAGAGTCATCGAACATCAGCTCCCCTTTGGCGGGTTCCGCACTGGGCTTGGGGGAGAACGGCTGGTCCCCAGGAGGAGAGCCTTCCTGCGAGCTGGCTGGGCTTGACTTCTCAGTGCTGGCCCCGTTCTGGGAGTCCTGCTCCTCGTTCTCCCCCTCTTCCTCCTCTTCCTCCTCCTCCTCCTCTTCCTCTTCTTCGTAGATGATCAGGCGTGGATGGTAAGGTGCTTCGTCTTTCCTGGTTTTCTCAGACACACAGTCCAGCACCCAGTCAGGAGTCACCACCTTAATACCAGCTCGCTTCACCGCACACTCATACTTCTCCTGCGAGTGAGACACAAACACATAGAGATGTCACTGGAATTCTGCACTTCCAGAGGGAGTGCAAGAAGGAATACAGCTTTGGTGTCCACAGCCTGCGCTCCTGCAGACAAGAAGCAACCATGCCAGTGCCACCAAAGGCCACATCCTTGCAACAGCCATCTTGTCTAACATAATCTGAAAGGGGCATTTGAAGTGTACAAGTAGAGCTAGGAATGTTATAGGAAATGATAAAGTAAACAATCACTAAGTTTTACACATTTTTGCAAAGCTGGTTTGCCATGATAGGTTCACATTTGGCACCTTCAGTCCCTCAGGAGTTGTCACCAGGACGTGGCTGGTGGTCACAGTGAAACTTCCCCAGGTATCTGGTACTCAGTGAGCTCACTCTACGTGCCAAGCAGCTTAAGGAGCTACAGGCCAGAAGGATACAAGTCTCCAGCTTGAGAAGGGCCACAGACTGGTTCCGAGGTTAGAGGAGTTCACTGTGCAGTGAGAATACAAGCCAGAGCCCGTGCCAATGCCGTGATGGGCAGGCCCACATGGACATGGGCAGGAGGTCGTCCTCTGGGAGGTGGGCACCCATGCAAGGGCAGACAGAACAATGCACAGGCAAGGAAATGGCTCCTGAAAAATGCATCTAAATATGGCTCGGCCAGCCTTGCTCTCTGGCTTTCAGCTGGGAGTGGAATCATACCCTTCTGACCACCACAGAACTGGGCCCTACCCGGAGCCCCAAAGCTTACCTCAGACACCACGGTAGCACTTGTAGTTTACAGCTGGGGCAAGGCTGCGCCCCTGGGGACATGGGAGCGTCGTGATGGAGGCCTTGACAAGGTGAGGCTCTTTACCCCACAGCCTGCTTGGCTGCCTGGCCGCGGCGGCTCCGCCCAGCAAAGACTGCACCTTTCTCCAGATAACACACTCAGGCTAAGAAACCTCAGCCAAGGAAAACAAGTGCAAGTGCTAGCGGGCAGGGCGCAGGTGGCGTTGGTGAGCAGCTCTGTTTCGTCCTAAGTACACACGCATGTACAAGGGCACCCAGGGAGCCGCACCGGCACCGCTCTGCTAGGACACCCCGTATCAACGGGCACACGCACACACGCAGTATGCAAACAGAAGGGACGCCGTCCAAACCTGGAGCTCCCTGGCTATCTCACCCACTTCACCTGCCTCTGCCCACCTCACACCTGGGCCCCTGGACGACTTCCCAAACACGCCACGCCCACCAGACAACCCGGCAGCTCCTTAGCTCCCCTGCACCCGGCCACGAGGCTCCCGCTTCACAGACACATGCAAAGGCTCACGTGTGGTCAGCAGCAGACAGCCTGACCTTTTGCTACAGCAAGAAACGGAAGCCAGACCTCACAACTGACTCCAAAGTTCTGATGTTCGCTATGAGGGCAAAGCAGACTTGAGGCTCCCCTGCGTTTGTTTCCCTGCATTTCTACATTCTTGATACCACCTGATCTCAGGACCTCGTGGCTCCACTCAAAGGGATCTGCTGCATGTGTGTGACACATCTCAACTCCTTTCACTCCCACTGCCTCCTGTGTGTGACCACACTTCCCTCCAAAAGGCCACGTGGATTACACTTCTAGCGCTGTACAGGCACATACCAATTCACCAACAATCCTAATAACATTTCTCATTTCTTATCCTAAAAACTCTGTTATCTTTTGTTTTTGTTGTTGTTTTAACTCTGTCATCCTTTGTTTTTGTTGTTGTTTTTGAGTCAAGGCCTCACTATGTAGCCCAGGCTGGCCTTTGAACTCACTGTGATGCTCCTGCCTCAGTCTCCTATTACAGTTGAGTGCCACCACGCCCAGTAATTATGTCGTTCTTAAAGAGAATGGTACCTGGGTTTAGGAAGTTTTTTTTGCAAACTTTGCATCAGGAGACAAACACAACTGTGGCCATCTTTTTAACATGAACACAAACAAACATGGCCATTTTCCCCAGAATCACGGAATAAACTGAATTCGTGAACTGAGGTACCACTGCACGGAAGTATAAAAACATTCCCCAAGTTTCCCCCTCTCCCAGTAAATGCAAGGAGAAATTTCTATAGTCTCTGTAGAGGCCCAATTTCTGGACTATCCTCCCTTCCCAGAAAATTCAGTTATTTTAGGAAAATATGAAGACCAAGCGTATAGCAAAGTATTTATAACTTCAATAATACAAATATATATTCAAATAACAATAACACAGATGGCATATAATGTGGCTTATAGCTGGATGTGGTGGCACACACTTTAATCCCAGTATTTGGGAAGCTGAGGCAGAAGGACTGCTGTGAGTTTAAGGTCAGCTGCATTCACAGTGAGACCCTGTCTCAAAAAAAAAGTGCTGTTCGTATCAAAAATAAAACTACTACAGCCATGGATGCAGTGCAGCACACACTGGAAACTGAAAAGTGGTCTCACACACACACACACACAGGAGTTTGTGATCTGCGAGTCCCTATGTGGGCTGTTATGGTCCCATTTCAGGGCTGGCCGGGCTACTTACTTCCTGTGCACACTGGAGGAGAGGGTGTGGGGAGGAGACTGCCCTATCAGCCTTAGCCAGACTGCTCTCATTTCTCATCCAAGAGGTTCTGTCCCCAAAGCATTATTACTACTGACGACTCAATGCCTCTGCTGTTTCAGTTCACTGGCAATGTTTTGAAATTATGAATTCTCGAACTGACTTCTAAGTGTCAGCAAGGGCCCGAGGGCTGGGGTGACCAGGGTAGCCAACACTGGCCCACCACATGCACGTGCAGTGTGACAGTCAGGTGGCAGCAGGGGCCTTTGTACCCAGCGGGATGCAGCAGCTGCAGTGCAGCCCCTCCCTGTAACTATAGCCATACCCTGCCCTGCAAATCTCACACTCACCTGTAATCCCAGCACTCAGGAGGATCTCCAAGAGTTCAGCCTGGGCTACACAGTGAGACCCTATCTCAATCAACCAATCGATCGGTCAATTTTTTTAAAATGCAGAAGTTTGAGTTAACATTAAAAAGAAATGCCATTTATTTTTGTGTGGGTCTGTATTTAGCACTCACATAACTAGAAAACTTTAAATTCATCATTAGACCTGAAAAGTGATGTCTCAAGCGGGTGTAGAATACAGTAATATAAAGGAAGCCATTCTAAAGGGATTTACTATCAAATACTGTGGTTATTTAGTCATATGGTGTAGGCCACAGATACAATCTGGCTCAAAACTACAGGAGCTACCTATAATCTGTATTGATTCAGGTTTTATAAGTCATAACCCTGGGGTTACTGCCAGCCCCTGAACCAGACCAGGAGGCCACATGGCCCGTCCCAGCCCCACACCAACAACATGCCGTTCAGAGGGACAGCAGACAACCTGAGCACCAGCATTACCACTCAGATTTTCGGTTCTATTAATTCAGTGACACTGCGAGAAGTTGCTCCTGCTGCCTAGTTCTGAAATGTGTTAAAGGCCCCTGCTTCGTCTACACAAAAGCCAGCAGAGAGGACAGAGCAAGGGACGTTCCCATAGAACGACCCAGACAGAAACTGCAAGCTGAGGCTCATTCCCCCGCCTCCCAAGGGAATCGCCAAGTATCCACACAGAAAACTACACCATCATAATTGGTCTTGTAAGAAATAGCTATAAAAACTGAGAAGTTGTGAAGAACAAAACTTTCTTTTTTTTCAAAGTTTACAAGTAAAACCAAGGATGAGGAGTAAATAAATTACACAGAATAATATTGTAATTCCATTATAGACTTTGATGGGAGAATCCCTACATACAAGTGTAGTATGTTGTGTGTACACATATTTTGTTTAATATCAAACTTTTAAAATGCATGAATTATTTGCTTTTTCTAAAAATGACCATGTAGCACATTTGTTGTCTTACTCATGAGCACATTTTAGCCAAAAAAAATTATCTGTATGGGACTCTTTGTTGAGATAAAGCCTAATTAAAGTACACACATACATACTTAAATAAACTGTTGACTCAGAGACGGTTTCCTTCCAGATAGTCATTTAAAAAATATTCCACTTTTAGTTATATCAGTTTGATTCCCAGTACTGAAAAACTACTTAATTTTACATACATAATACATACATATTTAGCTGGAAACTCAAAGAGTTACTAAAGATCCACCAACAAAATATTTTTGAAGGGGAAACCTTCAATTAGCATTCTAAAACCAGACTGCAGCTACTGCAGGTTCACAGATTTGTAATCCCAGATATTCAGGCTGAGACAGGAAGATCACAACTTTGCAGCCAGGCTGAACAGTGAGACTTTGTCTCAAAATAAAAAGTTATAAAGGACTAGAGATACAGTTCTGGGGCAGAAAATCCCTGACTCAATGCCCAATACTTTAAAAAAAACTACAAGCTAAATTACAACTTGAAACAATTTTAACAAACCTACTTTCTTCAAGTATTGCCTCTTAAAATTAGAGCTGACCCTTCAGAAGCATCACTCAGTTACAAAACGGTTCATTTCCTCTTCACACTGACTATGTAAAATCAAATGATTTACTTTCAGGTACAATTCATATTGGGCCACGCCTAGGAAGCTGAGGGTGGCCAGTCCTGGCCATCTGCCAGGAAACCTCCATGGGGCACAGTGCAGGCAAGGGTCTCCCCCGAGGCCAGGACACTGAGCAATGTGAGGCACAGGCCACCTTCCTGACGCACCCTGTCTCAGCCGATGCACCCTGTCTCAGCCCTTGCCCCCAGCACACTCAACTCCTCTTTGCCTTTGTGACAGTACCGCATGCAGGAACAGGACAACAGGGTCAATTCCAAGCAAAAGCAATGCCAAACTGTAAAGGCAGTGACCAGCACATGGGGAAAAATTAGTCAGAAGCCTAGTTAGCTACACAAATACTCTCCACTGGACTCTCCAAGCTCTAAACTTCCTCATGCACTGCTGGAATCATGAGCCTGGGAAGCTGCAGGGCAACCTGTAATCTGAGGGGGCCCAGGGACCCCACGCGAACCTCAGTGTCTCTGGCCATACCACTGCTCAGACACCAATGTCTTGTGCTAATTGGGCTAAGAGCAGTGTTGATACATCCGAGATTACTAATGTATCATACAGGAAACTTTTACCAAGCCAGCACATGCCTGTCATCCCAGCACTGAGGAGGCTAAGGCGGGAAGATTCCTGCATGTTCCAGGCCAACGTGGGCTACACTGTGAGTCTAAAGTCAGTCTGAGACACAGTGAAACCCTGCCTCCAAAACCCTTTACCAAGGGCTGGGGACTTAGCTCAACAGCCTAAGCACCTGCCTGGTAAGCAGAGGCCAAGAGTTCAATCTCTAGTCCCCTCACCCAAAAAACAACCTTTAGCAAATGCTTAGTTATACCTGAAATAAAGCTTTTAAAAATTTCTGAGACAAAACTAGGAGTAACTTGGTAGCCCACATGCTTACCATACACCAGGCCCTCGATTTCAATCCTCAGTACCTATCAAAACCTATTTTTTAAAAACATGAGCGAGCCAGGCGTGGTGGCGTATGCCTGTAATTCCAGTACTCGGGAGGTTGAGGCAGGCATATCATTGCAAATTAGAGACCAGCCTGGGCTACAAAGTGAGCCCAAGGCCAGCCTGAACTACATAGTGAGACCCTGATGTAAAAAGACAAAAAAAAAAAAAAAACCATGACGAAATACCTGGTCTGGTGTGGCACACCCCTGTAATCCTAGCACTTGGGAGGCTGAGGCAGGGGGTTGCTCCAATTTTGAGGCCAGTGTGGGCTACAAAGAGAGTTCAAGTCCAGCCTGAACTGCACAGTGAAACTGTCTCAAAAAAAAAAAAAAAATCATAAAGGAATCTAAAAATACATTTTTTCCACATATAAAAATAAGCAAGTTTGACAGAGTTTGTAAGAGAATTCTGAAAACTCTGTTTTCCCCACAGAATAAACCCAAATTTCTTTGTAATTGTCATCAATTTACAATTATCTCACATTTCTGTGAAATGAATCTGGAAACAAGTATTATAAACCAATATGATCAGCTCTTGTAAGTGGACTCTAGTAATTTAGGAGCTCAGGAGACTGGGGGTAAGGATGGTATTCATGGACACATAGAAGGACATGGTCAGGGGACACTTACCCCCTTTGGCTCTGGCACAATCAAATGCGTACATTTCTTATTGAGGGTTAGCTGGCAACTGCCTCCGTGGAAAGTGACCAAAGCCCACAGGGCACTTCTGTCTTCAGATGACACCTGACAGAAGGTCAGAAAGGTGCTTTAGCAAGGACTCAGTCCGCATGTTCACATTCGACAGCACTCCATCCACACAACACAGGCTACGATCACAGCAATCTTAGCTAACTTTCTCCCTATTAATTAACCCAAGGCCATTAGCGGAAAAATGAAGAGAAGCATTTAGCTGTATTCCTATCCTAACAGTTTTATAGATATAAATCATTTTTCCCTTTTTACAAAAGAATAAATATTTACATCCACATTCCAAGAACTGCATGGAGTATTATTTCAGTCTTCAGCAAAAATAATAGGGGACAAAAGGGCAGAACTAGTAGACCATTCCAGCTTCCGTCTGTAATTTTAATATAATAGCAGTATCAAACCATATTTATAAGGAACTGCTTAAAACCAATGAGTAACGAATACTGATTATGACATAGGAAAACAAAAAGATAGAAACAGTGGTTTGTAAGCACAGGGGAAAACATAAATATCATTTAACAAAACAAAATCAACACAGCAAGCATAGAGGGGTCATTCTTATGCTTGCGCAGGGATGAAACAGACTCCAGGTACAATGGCTATGTCCTAAAACAGGCTTTTGCTGTGACGGTAAAAACAGCTACCATTTATTGCCTGCCTACTATGTGCCAGGAACTGTGCCAAGTGTGTTACATACACTCCACGTTTTCCACTGCCACCTGAGACAGGACCTGCCACCCCCTCTGAAGGCAAAAGACAGACTACACTGCGCCTGCCATTGGACACACTGCTTTAACACCTAGGTCAGAACCTACACTCAGGTCTTGCTCCGAACTATTTTTTTACTGTTCTATAATGCTTCTCCAAGGGCAGCTACTTCTAGGTAAGTCAACAATAATTTCTAAAAGAGTAAAATTACAGAGTCTAAAAGACAAAAGAAACATTTAAGAAAACTAATGTGTGAGCATGAACTCTAGGATAATCCCTTCTGTCTGGACAATTTTATTGTAAATTGAGGGTCATGAGGATTGAAGAATCCTAAATGTGTCTCCAGCTAATTTTTTAAAATACTTATGAACAGGAATTTTGAACGCATTTTGAACGCATTTTGCAGCTTGCTAGTAATCTAACATTACACATCTCCTTGGATCCATCTGATGAGCATTTCTAGAAATTATTTTGTATTCCACACTACTCCGAATAACATGTTAACTTTTTAAAATAACTTTTTAAAGTCACTCTATCTCTGCAATTTAATAATTCAATGTCACACTTCAGACACACGGACCTGGTTACTTTTATTAGAGCATTTCACAAACAATGCTCTGTAGCATTTGGAGAGCTAGGTGTGGTTAACAAGACAGTTATCCAATGGGTCAGTCTACAATCTCTAGAACGAAACTTGCCATGTGCATTCACCAGCAAGTGCAGCCGCATGGGCCGAGCCTGCCTGACCCACCAGCCCTCGTGACTAACCCTGTGTGCTGTCTACCTGCCTCCCGGGAGCCTGCCTTGCTATGGACAGAGCAGTATGCATGGAGAAGCAGAGGGGCTGGGGTGAAGACTGTGTACCCACCAACCAGCTCACACCACCCTGGAGACCTGGAGCCTAGGCTCCCAGCAGCAAGTCTGGTCTGCACACTTAACGGCGTCCGCAGAGCTCATACCATGCCTCGCAGCTGCATGGTTAGCATGTTCTTCCCACACCAAAATGCCAACAGTAGTTACCTAGTGGTGGTACGTTAGGGGAGATTTGTATGTTCTTTTTTATACTTTTCTGCATTTCCCGCATTTTCAAAAGCATTAATTTTATAATGGGGAAAAGCATTTTCCTTTCTAACAGCCAAATGTCTAAAACACCAATCAATTATATATGCTGTCCCCTCAACACGTGCAGCTGCAATCCCAGCACAGAAACCCCAGGACATCACGCCAAGTGGGGCTCTCTGGCTCCTGCTGCGGAGCACTGGTTCTCTGTGGACCTTGAAAAGCTGCATGGAAACAACATCCCTTAGACATGCTAAGCCTGCATGTGTCCGGACCCTGCCCAGGCCCTGGCCCCTCCTGAGACCCAGCTCAGGGGTCAACCCATATACCACCAGCAAGCATGCAAATCCTGGGCATCCCCACACTCTAGAACAGCCTATGTGCTTGTCCCCCTCACTCGACTCCAGCATTCAGGAGCAAAGGACCAGAATTCCACCTGCTGCTCCAGGGAATAAATGTTTCCTACAACCAATCGGAAGCACCTTTCTCCTCCTTGCAGTCTGGATCTCCTGTATCAGGCCTGAATTCTAGCTGCATTGCTTTCCTCCTGGTCCCATCTTACTGATCAGGTACAATACCATTTATTAAAGACTAGAGTCCTACGGAAGAATTATGAGCTAAACTCCTTGTTATCTTTCACAGAACCTAGTACAGTGCAAGGCACATGGGTAGGCAGTCAAGAAATATTTATTGATTGAGATACAGAACAGAAAGGATTTTCATTTTTAGGCTTCCAGGTTTGAGTCATGACCTGACCAGGCTCTCCATTAAATTCTCAACCTATTCCCCAAAACCTACCCAGCACATTACAACAGAGGCCCCAGCCTGCATCAATACCGGCTCAGAAGAAGGCAGATGGTGTCTGTGCTTCCCAACTTCTGCTGGCACAAGCTCCCTTCCCTACCTCTCCCTGGGAGAGCTCTGGAAGACTCCAACAAAGAGCTCCAGCTTGTGTCAACACCCTGACGGGAAAAGACAGAAGGTCACTGAGAACCACCAAGCAAACAGTCCTTCAGTAAGGTGGATCTTGCCTGGCGTGTGCACAGGGGTCCCAGGGTGCAGATCGTTGCAACCGCTCCCTCCTTCGGTGTCTATACCTGGCGTCCAGTAGGTCTTTGTGCTTTACAATACAACCACGTTTGTTTACACGCGTGGCTCCATCTAGTCTGTGTGGTTACTGAAGGAGAAACTGCATGGTGATGAACATGCACCCCTTTGCGTGGTCCTTGTTGCAAAGGAAGTACTTCTCAGAGGTCTGGTGAACCCAGCTCCCTTAACTGGACACTGTACACATATTCATCAGCATGTCTTTAGTCTAAATTAACATTCTGAGCAACCACGAAGCATTGTGCTCCGTGTATTTTTCTTACACTAACGTTTCCAGGGTTCCTTTACATAAGCTACTACCAAATAAAATCTTCCCATATCCTTACTTAACCTCTCTGAACGTAAAGTACTTTTTATGAAAACTACCCCATGACACACTGGGATTTCAATTCATCACCATAAATGACAACCCATAGTAAGTCCAGTGAGTTATCCATGAAGATCTGGCTGATTCAGAATCCTGATTTTTCTTACCTCATCAATCTGCTGTCAGAGATTAATTTTCCTGCTTGTCTATTACAGACCCAGCCATTGCCTTGGTCAAGCTTAGCACCTAGTCAGAGAGCAGAGCCTCTGCTCTGTCCATCACAGCAGGGCCACCCCTGGGACACTCATCAGACAACACTACCCTACTCTGAGCCTCTGGACCTCTGTGCTCACTGGCCACTCTGCCTCCCCTCGGCTTCTCTGTGGGATGGACTGCTCCTGCCCATGCGGACTACAATAGTGTCTTCTCTGCAGAACCCAAGCCCTATGCAGACCCCTGTACCTGTGCAGTGCTCAAGCAGCCAATCAATACTCTTGCCTCACTTTCAACATATGTTCCTTCCCTGCTCCTGGACCACAGACAGAACTGGGAAGGGAAAACCACGCACAACTCTGCTATAAACATACGCCCTAAACCTTTAGCTTGGACACTGCAAATTTTCAGCAAGGACAATAAAAACCGTCAGGTCTGGTTTCATCCTGGTTTCTAAAAACAATACCTCTCTCTCTAGCCTCTTTTCCACTTGTTTCCAAGCTCTCTAGAATGAACCTCCCTCGCATGCACATTACCAGAGGTGGAGGGTTCTACTTGCGGTTGCCTGATCCTGTCTCTACCCTGCTGGGGGAATCCCCTTCAGCTGTGCCAGTACATGGGTCTAACAGCTTGGGTCCGAACAGCTTACATCTACCCAGAATTCCACATTCTGTCCCATGTCACCAACCAGGCTCTCCTGTTTTCACCAGCGACCCGCCACCTCCCCAAGCTCCATCTGCAGGCACAGCAGATGTCTGGCCCCTGATCTCCATGGCAAAGCAGGCACCAGGACTGGCACAGACCTGTGGAATGTGCCAACGCCCCCACTCCTGCACCACAGTGCTCCCACACCACAGGACCTGTGAGTCACCTTCACTGCTTAGGTACCGTGCTGGGCTGGCCAACCTGATCCCAAATCTTCACCTGAAGTCCAGTAGACGGCGACTCTGCTCAGTGCCAAAACTGTCTCTACCCTGACCACTCTGACACACTCATGGCTCCCAGGCCAGCTTTAATAAAATGATTACAAGTGACTAATTCTTTAAACAGCCATAATCCAAAACTAAATATGTAAGAGGAAATAAAGTGAAGCAGCACCCTACGAGTCTCCACCAAGTCCAAAGCCATACACCAGATCCCAGCCTCTGGAGTCTCCACCCTGCACCTCCCTGGCCAGGTCTTTCTTCACCACCAGACACACACCCTGCTTCTGCCTCAAAGCTGGCCTCCTGCAGGTACCCTACTCTCCTCTCCTTGTACCCAATGTGCTGCCCTCCAGGACACTGACAGCTCCTGATGTCCTGTCAGGGCCCACCCTGCCTTGAGCTAGGCGGATGCCCTCCTCTCTAGCTGACACATCCATCCCCTGTGCCACTTAAGACAGCACATCACACAGAATGTGCCCTGCACACCATTCTGCCTCTCATGAGTAGGGTCTTTGCTAACATACGTATCCGTTTATGCCTTCCGAAAGTCTCCTCAGCCCTCAGCTCAGCTAAGATGAACACCCTCACAGTCTCACACTTTTGGTTTCTGATTCCCTCAGGTATGCCAAGCCATGCCATGTGGTCCCGTATGGTAAAGGCCAGCTTAGCACGGCTTCTCCCTTCCACCCTTGGTCACCAAATGAGATTCCTTTCTGAGCATTGGGCTCTGAGTCTCAGACCCCAGAAACCCAGTCGGTGTACAGTGGAAGTAAAATGCATACACTGTAGCCAAAGTACCCTTTGTTTATGCATAAACAGTGATAAAATGTTTTCATTTTAAAAATTTATCTGATGTGCTAATTGCAAATTTAGGATATACAGAGAAGTATAAAGAAGACAGTAAAATTACATATAACCATAGCACCTGGCATTTAAAAATCCTCATTTTAAACAACTTTAAAGATCTTCACCATGTGAGTATACATTTATACCAGATGTAAAGATGATCAAAAAAATACAAATCCCAGCTTCCTACTCAGAAGGGAAAAAGAGACAATTTTCTCTTTTCAGAATCTGCATCAAACTGATGCAAAACGAACCAAAAGGGTTTGATAGTCTTGAAGAATTTACAGAATTGGTAACAGAAGCAAGAACATAGTAACCATGGCTAAACTCACTAAACTCACCACTGGGAGGAGAGCAGTCATACTCAAACTGTTAAAGGCTGCCTGGCCAGCGCTTCACAGCGGTAATTAAACACTAACTGGCTCCCTCACGCTCTAGCCCAAAGGCTCAGGGACAGGGCAGAACCACAGTAACAGCCCTCCCACCTCCACGTGGCTGGTTTTTCTGAGGTCACCAAGCACCAAGGACAGGCCAAGACTGCGACCACAGCTCAGGGGAGGCCAGCCCTTGTCAGCACACCTCTATCTCATGTCATAGCTACCCTGTGCAGTTCTGACATATGTTTAAACAACCCCAACTTGTCAGGTTTTTGTTTTTGTTTTCTGGTACCGGGGATCGAACTGACGACCCTGCACTTGCCAGGCAGGCACTTATACCGCTGAGCTAACAACTTGGTTTTTGATAAAGGGTTTTAGTTGCAGTTGAAGGTTAGGAAGACGAAACAGAACAAATAAGCACTAATACCCATCCTTCCACTACCCAGAACTAAACACTAGATATCCCGGCCCCTCCTTTCAGATATTTTGTCCCTTTTCTACTGGTTGACGGATGTAGTTACAACACTTTTTCCCACCTGAAATATTTCCCATGTCTTAATATATTTTCATAAACTGCAATTCAAAATGTCTAAGTGTCCAAACCACTGTGTAAGTACACAGTTTCTTTAATAGTGCCCTGATTTTTTTCAATCACTCTGAGCATCCTCCAGCATTAGTCTGCCCGGATACACACAGAGTGAGTATTTGAGCTACACTACGCCAGCAGTTGACAGGAAGGCTGGTGTCCCCCTTCCCGTGTCATCAGCAATGGGACACAGTGAACACCTGGCGCACTGCTCTGGCTCTGATGAGCAAACATCCTTGTCTCGCCATTAACGCACTCATGTCTTAAATTAGAAAGTGTCATCAAATGTTTTGTCACACTTATTTATACAATTCCTTTTTATAAGCTGTGAGCCCATTTTTCTGACCTGTCTAGGTCTTACTACTACTTTCTTATGTTCTGTACCAAAGTTCAAATTTTAAAATTTTTGACTATAGTTTTGACTAAACTCTCCTTATCTTTTCATTTCAAATGTTTTCATATTTAAGTTTTAAATCTTTGTAATTCCTTTCTTTAAATTACAAAGGCACTTATACTCACTTAAAATTTTAATTACTAAAAGTAAACCTGATATCTAAATAACTGCCTCAGACACTCACAGGGAATATAGAATTGGTTAGTACACGGGTCTCCTCTAAAACCAGTTAATAGATCAATAATCCAGTCACATAAACACTTGCTGCCGTGCATAAACATCGCGAACTGTTGACCATGCTTACCTGAGAAAGGCAGGCAGTGATTCCAAAAAAAATCTGACAGGACTCTGGAGAAAAACCATTGACTCTGTTTGACAGTCATTAAGATCACAATGATATGGTCAGCGCAGCCTGGACCTCACTGAGAGACACGGCCCACCTCTGCCTCCCGCTCAGTCCTTTTAGCAAAGCGAGACTAAAGATGACCAAAGCAAGCGCAGAGTGGACTGGAATAAACAGGACTGCACAGAGCAGAAAGAACTGAGGGATTTTCAGTAGAATACATTCTAATATCTAGTTTCGTCACTCACATCATAGATAAAATGGACATAAGACACGCATGGAAAAACATCTTCATCTTGGATAGTAGTGCACATTTATAGACACACACACACATACAGACACACATGCACACACGGGTACTGCAACTGCTTTAAAAGCAAGGTAATGTCTTAGTACAAGGCCTAGAATGAAGTCCCCACGAAATCACTTAGACTGCACAGCATAAAACCCTTTCCTAGGGGCCTGAGCTCCAGCCCCAACACCACCACATCCTTGGGACCTCGAGTGGGCCAGCTCAGGGCTCCGCTGCCCCTTTCGCACACAGGAGCAGGAAACAAGCCCCAGACCCTCCCTAGTGAAGCCAGGCAGGTTAGCTGCTGCACTCACCATGCTCCTGACACTGACAACACAGCACAGCGACAGCAAGCAGCTGGGATCTGTCTCCCCAGGCCTGTTCCCGACTATCTCAGAATAATACGGAGCAGCCAGAGTTCAAAACGGCTAAGACAGTACTCCTCCCTCCCTACATAAGAGTATGCCTACTGAGACAGGCGCGCTCAGAACAGCACAGTAACCCGACTTGTGACGTTAAGGGTTCCTATTTGAGCAGGCAGACAGCCTTCTCTGGCTGTCACAGACTCTGCAGACCAAAAGATGCCTGCAGCTCCCTTCTCCAAGAGTTTTCACCCCTCCTGCCTCAGCTCAGGAGGCCTCTTACTTCCAGCAACTGAAGACACACCTCACGGAGCTCTGCTGCCCCTCCTGGTCCTCTGCGCTCTGATGGCCACAAGGCAAGAGCTGCCAAAGGAGGCCTGGTGGACAGTAAACGGTACAGAACAAGAAAATAAGCCTCTTATCCTGGAAACACTCACTTCTTTTGTCTTTTTTCTGAGCTTATAAAAACAAAACAAATGAAATTTAAAAACTGCTTCTACCCAGAGCTGACACTCTTCAACTCTTCAGACCACAAGGAGAGGCCACACAGTCTTGGGCCAGGATTGCTGAAGTCTTCTCTCCTCCAAGAGCTGCTTTTAAAAGGGTACATCTCAGTCTGAGGTCCTCCATATAAATTTCATAGTAATATTCCTTCTGTTTGCACTGATTCGACAGGTAGTAAGTGCTTTTAAAGGCACGGTATGACACAGCTATAAAATAACATAGGGTGAATGACAGAATTTCTTGCTCAAGCCTAAAATTTCAACATTGTAACTGTATACTATTAGGTATTCTTAAAAGAAGCAATCTTCACACTCAGGCTCTGCCTGGTCTGTATCTCCAAGAGGCTTCACCCTTGCAGAACGAAACAGAAGCTACCAGGCCATGGAAAGTAAACAGCAGGCTGTGGAATGGCTCGCTCCCAAAAGACTCTGGGGTGCAGCCACACTCAGACTGCTACCTGACACACGTGTGCAAGCACTGCACCAGGGAGCCCCTCCAAGACGGAAAGGAGGTGGCCTTTGTCATGGTCCAGTGTCAGCAAGTGCTGCCCAGGCACACAGATCTAACCAACCTTGCGCCCCACGTGGTTAACAAGTAACTCTGCCCACTACACAGCTGGGCGTTTTCCTCTCATGTTCTCCATTATGCCTTCAAATACTCATGCTTTGGTTTCTATGGACTTAAAAGTCGAGAAATACCGTCTAGCTATAGTCCATCAAAGTTAAGAAGAACTGCAACTCGCAACTCCTGGTGCTGCTAGAGCTGCAGGGCACAGCTCGTCCCCGTTTGACAAGGATGGGGTACATAACACATGATACAGGACAGAGAAGAAAGGGACAGAGTGCAGAGGAAACAGCTGTGCCTAACTAATGAGTCCACTTTTCTCTCAGTGATTATCACTTCGGTCTTAAATTCAGAGTTATCCTTTCTCCACCCATGAAAAAGGATACGGCAGAAGAGCTCCACACTGCACAGACAAGGTCACCCAGGAAGGCTGAAAAAGAAAAACATCAAATAAAAAAGTGCTCCAGGCGTAAGGATGAGCATTCCTACAGTCCCAATATCCGCAAGCCAAAGATCAGCTACAACTGTGCATGCCGAAAACCCCAATTCCACGGGGCAGCGCTCCCGCACCTTCACCACGTGGGTGTACATACTTACTACTGCTGGCCACACCCTGAGATGAGGCTGCTGCCCACCCACCCACCACCAGAGCCGCAGCTAGGGTCCAGTCAGCCCCAGCACGGACTTTATAGAATCCTGAGTTAAATCAGGCTCAAATTTACAGCATGTTTTTTAGTAAAGTCAAGGAGATACAGTGGTTACAAAATATAAAAATTATTTCCAACTACTTAGTAATCTTATGAATTCCAAAACTCATTAATGATAAAACAGTTTAAATACGACCTTTTAGGATACTTTATAGTTTTAGAAAATTATCTCATCTTTTATTTCTATATTTACTTTCTTAAATGACACTAATCGTTACCTTAAGAAATCTACCTGTAAAAGGTACATTCTAAACATAGTATACAGTAAAGCGCCCTTTTAGCCAGCTGACCTCTGAACCCTGGCCAAGTGAAACACACACACACTCATGACACAGCACCACTGTGGACATTAAATACTGATGTCAAATGTTTCCTGCAGAACCAGCGCGAGGCTTGAGGGACAGAACAATGACAAGAAAGACGCATTTCTCCCTCTCTCAAGCAAGCTGTACGCTAGCTAATGGTCTCCACACCCCTTCTATCACACATGCCTCACACAGGTTTTGGACAAGAGTGCCCCTGCATCAGTGTTCAGGTTACAGCTCCAGTATTTCAGCATTGGATAAAGTGCACCATATCTGAAAGAAAGCATCTTAATGCTGCCGTCCATTTCGTTTGCCCAGTGTACCCTCCCAATTTGGTCATTCTGAAAAAATTCACATTAAATCCAAGTCCTGGGCCAGCACCCCGAACTGTGTGACTTTGGATCCTCTGATTTTACAACATCCTCCACTGGGCCCGGCTTCACTGGGCAGTGACCCCCAGAGCCCTGGACTAGGTGGGGGGACTGAGCTCTAAGGGAGGAGGCCCCCAGAGCAGCTGTCCCTGCCTGAGGCCCTGCCCCTACAGGAAGGCTGGTTGGGAAAGATAGGGTGCCCTTTCTGCTGACTGGGGACCAGCAGTGGAAACCACAGGTGTGTACTCAGGCCGCTTTGCCCTGCATCACACACCCTGGGGAGCCAGCCCGGGGCTGAAGGAGCCTGTCCTAGTGATCATAAAGTCCAGTCCCAGCAAGGACAGCCACCCTGAGGCCGTTGTTAGGTGTGTCTAGGTAGAATAATGCAAAGTTAAGAAGTAGGATACACTGATAAAGCAAAAACAGAGAAGAAAAAAGGCAAAGTACTAAGTGATTTTTTGGTACACACCTAAAATCCCAGCATTTGGGAGGCTGAGGCAGGAAGGTTGCCTTGAGTTCAAGGTCAACCTCAACTACAAAGCAAAACCTTATCTCAAAAGACAAACAAAAAAAACAAAGAAGTAGCATACAAAATAAGCCCACCACAAATCAGTATTATCAGAAGTATTTCCAATGATGTCAGGGCCACTGAGGAAAAAGTTTCCATTAAAAAATTAGAGCCAGGCAGTTGTGCACACTTGTAATTCTAGCACTTGAAAGCTGAGGCAGGAGAATCACTGCGAGTAACCTATACAGTGGGTTCAAGGCCAGCCTCCACTGCAACCCTGTCTGAAAGCCAAAGGAAAAAGTTTTATGTTACCTGCCTGTACTAACTCCTCATTATGAAGGCAATCATGTACGGCAAGCATGTACTAATAAAATAAAATTTTAAAATCATGCTAGATGTTTTGGTGCCTACAAAACTGAGCTTTCTTCATTCAGCCAGATTTTACTGGTATACTTCACACATAATAATGATCGAATCCATCATAGAGAATCTGCACCCGTATACAATGTAACTTTTTTCCATTCCCCTATCCTCCTCCCCTCCCAAAACTGAGCTTCCAACATCTGTAAAAATCAGATATATAAATGGCAGACTGTCACTGTGTGTGCAGTATCAAACACACCTTCCAACAGGGACCTAACGCCATCCAGTCTCCAGCAACAGACCCCTCCTAGCACAGGTCTCCTGAGAGTTTCCAGGCAGAAACAGCCTGCCCATGCTAGCCTACAGCAAACGTCAAAGCTGACCTAGAATCAACCCTCCCACATCAAGATGAACTCAAGGACTGGAAACTGAGGTAAGTCACCGAAATGACAAAGAGCTTTTTTCATTGGGCAGATTTCCCTTTAAAGCAGAATTTCAACAATCCTGCAAAGAACTATGCTGAAATGCCAATGTATTGATTAAAGATACAAAATCAGATTTCCTACTGACCTTTACAACAGGTAGGTCAAAGACTTCCCGAGCTTCACCGACCTCCGGGTTGTCCCCATCCTCTGAAATTATGTGTGAGGCGAGAGCATTGTAGGATACTTCCTTGGCTTTTCCAGCTTTAAGAAGCTGAATAACCTTTAAAGACATGCACATAAATTAAAGTGAACACTACTGTACTCCATTTCTGATTTATGTGAATAATCGCAAAAAGTGACAGGACATTTTACTAAAAACACACCACATAAGTAGAATTAACCACCTTTGGGAACAATAAAAGATAGCAAACTTGATTTACTGACCGAGCTACAGAAGGTACTGTGAGTCAGCTACTACCTGTCTGTCTTCCAGACAGACAGGACAGACTAGGACATCTTCCGGACCACCAGCCCAGGGCTTGAGGACCAGGAGTTTCATTATCATTAGGGCGAGGAAGCAACTCATGAGCACAAGTGGAGACCCACAAGTGGAGAACACACAGGTGTTAACCAGGCAAAAAGAAAGCAAGAGTCCAGTAGCTGGGCAGGTGAACCCTGAGGTGCCATGCAAACCCATTCACACCTGGGGCCACTCTTCCTCCCTATCTTTGCTTGACCCCAAGCATCTTGGGTTCACACAGGCACATTAGGGGCCCCCACCATTACACACTCCAGCTTGCAGCAGTTAACTCTTTCTCTTCCTCAGGCCCCTACTCTGCTTCTTTTTCATGCCAACCTCCTGAAACAAGTCTCAGCTTTCTGTGTTCACAGTCTCACTTCTTAGTTACTCTTACACTCCCTGCAGCCCAGTCCAAGTTTCCATGGACTTGGAAGCTGCCAGCTGCCACCACTTCTTCCCAAGTTCACACCCCAGTCTCTCCTGCCTGATTTTCCCATGCACTCTGCACAGTGAACATCCTGAGGTACCCCACATACACAAATGTCTTCAAACTCTAGCATGGGCATTCCATGTGACAATAATCTCTCATCTCAAGGCTAAACTGAAATGACACCTAGCCACAACTCAGTGGGGTCTTCTATGGATCCCAGGGGAGAAACGTGTACCACTTGCACTCCTTCTCCCACCCTGAAGGGCCCCTTCCTCCTTCTGACACTTGGTCCAAGGCCTGACCCATACTAGATACTCCCAACATGGTACTCGACCCACATTTACCAAAGACAGAGAAAAGCTGCTCTGGTATTAAACTTTTTAGAAAACACACTGTCTCACATTAAGGTATTTGCAGAGGACATCCTTAAGTATATTTAGACTTGACACATAGTTGAACAAATATGGTTGGGGCCAGCTTGTTCCCCATTTCAAGTAACAGTGGGTTCAAGTCTCCTGTAAGAGCCAAAGTCCTAAAAAGAAGAGCAGGAAGGAGGGGGAAGACAATCATGGATAGTGGGGAAAAAAATGGAGATGACAAATACTGGGAAAAGTGCCCATTTTTACCACTCAGGCTTTAGCACTTGTTTTTAAGTCTTTAAACTCAAAGCTGGAAGTCTCTACACACTAAAGTGACAGGAGAAAAATACCTAATGCGGTTTAGTTAGGCAAACACACTGACCAGCCCCTGGAAGGCTGTCTTTCACAATTCCTTCTCTACCATCCAGGCTATCTGTGAAATGGTAGTGCCCACAGCTCCATGTCTAATTAAGTTAGGATTACAGATTACTTCCTTGCTCCAAGCTCAGCGCTGCGGGTGTGAAACCTTTAAGAAAGGAAATGTTTTGAAGATTGGCTCCAAGAAGATGCCAAACAGAGGTTCATTTCTACCACGGACTAAAAGCTAAAGTACATTTCTAGCAGATATTACTATACTCTGATGGTTACAGGGTATTATTACCTAGGACAACCCACACTATCCTCTGGTTAGGGAAAATGCTGCGCCCGCTGTGACGGTGTTTGCATGGAATATTCTGTATTTCCAATTCACAACATGTGAACCACCTGGGACTCGGAAGGCCAGCCCTCCGCCAGGACCCCCGGCTACAGAACCCCGGCTGCATGCGGCACGAGCGCTCCAGGCCGGCCTGGGCAGGTCCGTAGCCCCCACCCTTGGGCGACCCGTGTCCCCGCGTTGAGCCCTCTGCGCAGGCTGTCGGCGGCGCTCTGGGCCCCGGTGCCCACCCTCACCCAGCACAAGCCGGGAACCCGAGACCGCGGGGCGGGTCAGGCAGGTCGCGTCCCCATTCTAGGAACGCGCGACGCGATGAGGACGCGGACGCGGACGGGACCTCCGACCCACGCACTCTCCCGGCGGGCCAGCCCACCTGGCGGCCCGTCTTGCGCCCCGGCGCACGCCCGCGAGGGGGACACTGGGCAGCCCGGGTCGGGCTGGCGATACCTGCGGGTCGATGTCGCCCACCGCGTAGTACTTGACCTCGCGGAACATCTCCTCGGGAACTTCGGAAGCCGGGTCCGACATGTTCGCGGCGGCGCGGAGGCAGCGCGGAGCCCCGCCCCCGCCCGGCTCCGCCGCCGCTCCCAGTCCCCTGCCGCCCCCGCGCCCAGTGTCCCCGCAGTCCGCCAACCGTCTGCCCACTTCCCCGCGGCCCGGCCCAGCCCGGCCCGGCCTCAGATCGGGCCAGCTGCTCGCCCGCGTCCCGACCCGCGCCGAGTGCACTAAGCGCGGGAGCCGCGCGCGCCCTGCGGACCGCACCATCGTGCCAGCGGTAGGGGGGGGCTCCTGGGAGCAGCATGGCCGGTAGAGCCAAGAAGAGTCTCTCCTGCAGCCTGAGACCCCAGATGATACAGACACTGGCGCTCCTGCTTCGAAGACAGACAGCTGGACGCCACTTGCCTCCCATAAACCAGCCGCGGGCACGCAGAAACCCGGCTGCCCCCGCGGGCCGCGGTAAGCTAGTCCGGGGGCGGGGGCGGACGGCCCCTCCCGTCACCCTGCGCGGCCGCGGGCGGCGCATGCGTGTGAAGGAGGCGGGGCCTCGGGCTTGGCGACGGCGACCTGGTGGGGCAAGTGTCGTGGCGTTGTGCGGCCGAGCGAAGCTGCCCATCCACGACCTTGGGCCACACGTGTAGGTTCCACTGTCCGCTCCCGGCTCCAACGCCGAGCTCTGAGCTGCGCCGGCTCTGACGACAGCGGGGATCGCGTTCCGCACCCCCGCGACACCCGGCGATCGCGAGGAAGGCGAAGGCGGTGCGGTCGGAGAGGTCCCCAGCGTCGCTGGGCCGCGGGGGTTGGACGGGGTCTAAAACCCTCGCTGTGAACGTCAGCGGGGCGCTCGAAGAGAAGGCTACGCCTTTGCAGCTCTCCGTGACACCGCAGTTCGATAGCTCTCTCAACGTTGGAGACTCAAGTCGGCCCATGTGTCACTCGGGTCTGTGATGGAAAGAGGTCCTGGAGGTGAACGTCGTCAGCTGGTCCTTTGGCCAGCGCCCTTTAACTGGCCACTTCCGGCCGGTGCCCTTTCTGTTGTCTTTAATTTTATGTAGGTGTGAGTGATTTTGTTAAAGCAAAGTGAACAGTACACATTTCGTGTTCATCTATTTTCTGGTTGTGTTCTGCTTTTTACACTTGAGTGACCTGAAACCCTGTTCTATGCCTAGCAAGTTTCTTTTACAAATAGTTATTGAGTACTGGCCTGAATGAATAACCAAGAAATTTGTCACCCATTTTTTATGTTTTTGTGACATCACTCTGTTGTCAGGAAATTTTTAAATGCCTAAGAATATACAGAAAGCATCAGCGTAATAAATTGTGTTTCTGAAGCTCATGTCTTTGTTGGCTTGTATCAGAGTTGTTTAGCTGCTTGCTGCTTGGTTAAACACAAACTGAGCAAGTCATTTTATTAAAGCCCTGGAAATTGACCTCAACCTGGTACCTACTTTTGTAAATGAAAAAAATAATTAGTAACATTCAGCAGGTCCAGTTTATTTCATGTTACTTCAAGTGCCATTAGTAAGGTAAATCGGGAGTTTAAGAAATCTGCACAATTAAGATCCAATCAAGAAAAATGGTTCAGCCAAATTTTACCTGAAATCATCTTCATTTAGATAATGGATGTTCTAAGAAATAGCCTGAAGTCATGAAGCATGGTGATTCAACTTTTAAAGAAAAACAGTGAGACTCGTGAGAAAACTACTCTTACAGAAAGTCCACTTTTGTAATATAAAATGCCCATTACAAAATTACTGGGAAAATGCCACATTAAGATTGCTGTATTTTACTCATAAATAGATAATTATCACTGATTATTGTGACATTTGAAAGATAACCCACGTAAGGTAGTACTTCCTTAAATGAAAGTTTTCCATCTCTTCTGTAACTTGGAGGCATGTAGTACCCCCAATATGATGCTTTGAGTGTTGATATTTTATAGTTTTCCCAAGTAAAGCTACAACATGATCATGTGACTTCCCAAGAGTGATCAGCCTTGGTGCTGATACAAATCAGGTAAAGTGGGAAATTATATTGAGTTTAGAAAAAATGTACAATTGTACTTCCATCCAGTTGTACTTCTGAGGGAAACCCGAGACACAATTACTTAGGTCTTACCAAATGGCTTTTTAAAACTGCATTTCTGTGTTTTATGCAACAATCTTGGCTTCAGGTTCTGTTCAGTTTAGCCACACGCCTGGATAACATCAGAGATAGATGTTATCCATGTTCAATAAACCTTTGTCTTGAGTTTATAGGCTATAACACACCTGTCTCATGAAAGGGTCCAGATCCTAGAGACACAGGACAGTTTTCTCATTTGTCCCTGTGGTTGTTTAGCTACTTAGCCAGCATGGAAAAATTAGGAAACACAAGTAAGAAAACAGTAAATTATCCTCAATCCCTACTGAGATCCTTCCAGACACTGTCCCATATAAATATATTTTTCCTTTAACAAGAAAAATCACACCTTGTATACACTTCTATTGCTCCTTCCCCCGCCCCCAAGAAAATGTCTTCCATGTCAGAAGGATCTACCTCCTTTAATAGATATATTGTGTTTGCTTCGCATTGCTGTAGCAAACTCCCGGAAAATTTAAAGGAGGAAAAGTTTGTTTTGGTTTAAGTTTCTGAGGTGCCAGTCCGTGGCCAGGTGGCTCTCAGGCCCGTGGTGAGGCAGAAACATGGCAGAGGAAAACTGCTCACCTCATGCAGCCAGAGAGCAGAAAGAAGAACTAGAGGAAACAGTCTGTGAGCAGGTACAGTCCCCAAAGTCACCCGCAGGAGCACGCCCTCCCCCTGGGCCCTACCTCCTGCATCCACCACTTAACTGTTACCAGTTATAGTCTCACCCATGAATTAATCCACTTGATGAAGTCAAAGGCCTCTTGGTCCAGTCACCATTCACTGAACACAAGAGCATTCGTGGAGCACATTTTTTTTGTTTTTATTTAAAGAAAGAAAAAACAAAAAGGGCAGAAATAATACATAATTTCAAAGACAAAATAAACAGTAAGAAATCACTAGTTGATGATTACATATTGACCTCTTACAAATAGTTGTTCAAGTTGCAAAAGTGAAGTATACAAAGTGGACCTTCAAACAGTGAGACTGCAAACAGTTCTGTTTATCCAACAAAAACTTAGTAATATGGTTATCAATCCTATGCACTTAAACATACATGCAGTTATGCATATCTTCAATTATGTTGAGACTGAACAAAACAAAGCAGGCTAAAAATCACTCTGAACAAAGAATAATAGTAATTCTGGATTTCACATCAAGGCACTAAGGGATCAGCACTGGGTACTGTAGTATCTCTTTTTCTTCAAAGTATTTGTTCATTTCATCATGTGTTACAAGATCAGTTCTCATAAACTGTTTATAAGTTGTACACATGCATGAGTCTTAACATGTATCTCTATCCTTTCTATATTGGAGAAACAAAACAAAGCAAGACAAAACAATATATTCCTATAAACATATGAAACGAAAAAGTCAAAATCACAGTACAAGGTGATCTACAATGGTTACTGTGTTGTCTTCAATAGAATTGTCTACATAGTATAATTGAATATAGCAGTACATAACAATATTAATAAAAACAACTTTGTAGATTGTGTAAAACTTCAAAAGCAGGTAATAATCAAACCAGAGTGGGTATCCTAGTGAATCTTGTCGTCTTCAGTGTAGTTTCTTGTACTCTCAGACTTGATATTATCAATCATTTGAATAAAATCTGTCGATAACAAACAGCAATCAAATGAAATTTAACTAAGATCAGTCATGGTAAAACAGTATAAGTTATACAAGGCTCCAGATTAAGTTAATAGGAAATTAAGGATGATTACTGTACTATATCCTGCTATTTTTAGGATAGCTGTCTGTAGTGGGGAACATTTTAAGTCTAAACCATAACAGTAATGCCCCATTGTACCAAAATTTATTTCGTCCTGTGGTATTGCATGTCCCTTGTTTCCCATTTAACACCTATAAACAATGGTGCAATGAAGCTGGCCTCTTAAAAGAGGAGTCCACATAGGGTGTTTTAGACTGTCTCATCCTTTGAGTGGCTGTACCTCTTGTCACATGAGCACCTAGACACACACTGGTAAGACGACTTGGATCAAGGGTTCCAAACTGTAGGCAGTTTGCAGGCCTAGGTAGCCGCGTGCTTCCAGCTCTGCCCGCGTCCATTAGCCAAAAGCTCACCTTGTGATCCTAGTCTTAATTGCCAGGGAAAGGATATGGCATCCATAGTATCTTGCCCATCTTGGCCAATTTTTAAAATTTCTACAAATTAAGATTAGGAAGTGTAATACAACATAACCACTCCCTGCCCCAAGGTGGCTCCCAGAGATGGTAGAGGAACGGGTCTTGATGCTGGACAGCGGAGGCTATTGTGACCAAGCAGGGGACTCCTGGGACAGAAGGTGGTGGTTGTGCACTTCTAGTGCATCCACGTTTCTGGCAATTTCTACCAAAACATACCTGACTTTCTTCCGCAGGGAGATGAACACCAATCTATCCTGCAGCCCTACCACTTCTGGACTCCTGGCATATCTTCTGGCAGACTGTGCCAGGAGTGCTGCCTCAACAGGCCAAGCCAGATCACCCTGGACCGCCTCACGGTATTTGACAAGACCTTACCACCCTATGACAAGAAAAAGTGAGCAGTGGTTTCTGTTGCCTTTGAGGTTGAGCATCTGAATCCCAGGACAAGGTTTGCCTCCTTGGGAGCTTCTGGTTCATGAGGTCAGCCGGAAGTACTGGGCAGTGACAGCCATCCTGGAAGAAAAGAGAAGAAAGACCAAGATCTATTACCAGAAGAAAAAAATATCACAAGGCTACAAGAACAGGCAGAAAAGAATGCGGAGGAAAAAACTACCAAGTTCTTCAAGACGCACAGATTCCTACTGTGAGTCCAATAAAGGCCTTCAGTGCCTCATGGTAGGCCTGGCAAGCCCTTCCTTATCCCTCTGGTTTGTGGGGGACCCAGGGATAGCTGTCCAGGTGCCACAGGTAGCTTGGGACCTAGAGAGCTGGGGACAGAGAAGACATCTTTGTCACTACTCCGTGTAAGACAGTCTTTCCATGCAGTTACTTTAATGGTGCTTATTATGCAGATGGAGTTTGTAAACCTCTTGTTTCTGAGAGAACTGTAGAGAAGCAATAGAACCACCATAGTCCAGCTGTCAGATGGGAGGAGGCGCTTGCTAA